TTGAAGCCATAGTCGGCTTATCTCCAATGATTGTTCACTCTCTCCTGCCGCCCTCACACGCGTGACACATGCGCACACACTGGAGAAGAAATGTCAATGTAAATCTGAAATTAAATTAAATGAAATCGACACATTGGATTTAAAAAAACGAAATGGCTACAAGCAAACTCGTATTTTTTAGTTTTGAGTTCAATCCTTTTGGAGTTTATTTGATTATTTATACAATCATTGATATATTTTTGTATATATTCATTTGTAAGTAATTATTTCCCTGTGACATATTTATTTAGTGTTTGGAGTCCATTTGCCAAAGCAATGCACCCTTTTATAAGTAATAAGCTCTCGAGTAAGATGTACAAGTGATCAAGTGATTAACAAATTCATTTGTAGACTTGTAAGACCTTGTTGTTTAACATCCATAGCCATGTCCAGTAAGCACAAGACTGAAAAATATGTTGTGTTTCCAATTTAAAAATGTTCTCATAGAAGGATGTTGACACGTTTGTTTTTAGACACTTGTTTTGCCTCGGCAAACTGCCACTGACTAATGGCATCCCGGCCAGTGCTCTTTGTGGACAATGTTTTTATTTTATTTCCTTCCTTTTGTGCTTCCATTACCCTGTCTGGGTTAAATATGTCTTCATGTTTTTTCAGGACATTTCTTAAAATATAAGGGCCCAGCCAAATGACCTTCCTTTTGTTCATAGGGCATAATGGTTCATGATATTTGAAGCTATGCTTTAACCTAGTTCTAGTGGCATTGATTAAGTGCTGCTTTGTCATCTAAGTGCTGTCAACACAAACATTTTATGAGCGACTGATTACTCGTGGAAATTCCCATATACTCACTGCGACTTTGTCATTAACACGTGATTTGTGTCTTCAAGAGTCCTTTAGGGGTCAACAATATTAACTTCTCCAGTTTGGAAAATGTTCATGTTGTCAAGGGGAGGATGCCAATATATAAAATGTCTGTAGCTGAGTTTAAAATCAATGGTAATGTTCCCCTAATAAAAAAGAACGAAGCACATGCTTACAACCTATTGTTGTTACAACAGTGTCTTGTGTTTCAAAAAGACTCAAAGCTCAAACCCTCTTAGTCCACTCCGATAAACTGAATAGGTCCCAGTAGGTCACTTAACAGACTAATGAGACTTGATGGGCTTGTGGTGTTGGACATCACTGCCTTCTGTGGCTTAAAGCTCTAACTTGGGTAGTTGCAGTCCCACAGCTATTGCACTCAGTAATTATACACACACAAGTCTTCAGAGTGGCCCACCAATGCCTAAATTACAGCTGGTGGATAAACCGCTGCAAAGTAAAACAATTACATTACTCAAAAGAATCCTAACACACCAAAACAAGAGCAAGAACTGAAAACAACTCTTTGGAAATGAAGGTTTGTTATTAAATAATTCAGCTCGTTATCTTTCATTGGTTGAACATACAGTACAACTAAATGTAGAGGACAGTTCTGGGGATGGATTGATCATTATTAGAAATGGTAGAATAACAAGTGTTTGATCCGTAAACATGTATTTCCACTACTTGTAAGCACTACATTAAGCACTATATCTTAGAGAAGCACTCCCTAATGGAAACGTTTGGTGTATACTGTTTACCATACGCATGCTTATGATCTATCACCGGCTTTAGAGAGTGCTGCTCTTTTTATGATTAAAAGCTTAAACAGGCCTGGGCAGATAGTGAGAGTTGCTGGGAGGTGTAGAGCCTGGCGGGGTTTCTTCAAGTGTCCAGCCATAACATTACACCACGGCCACAGCTGCTGTGTCGCCGCCGATCTGTCCCCAAGAAACATGATCCTGTTTATAATCTGACCATCATTTGGACGGCGACTGCCGGTGACGCCAGACCCATGATTTACTCCAGTGCATCTGTGTGTATGTGTGTTTTTCAGAGATAGATTTACGAGGGTGTACTGTATGAGGGTGAGGGTTAGGTCTTCAGGGGGCTGAAAGTATCCCACGGTGCACGGCTTGTACCACAAGTCATACTATTTCCTCCTCACAGTCACCATTGTGAACTCTGTAGAAGTAAATAATATAGTTTACTTACAGTTGGATATGTTTATTATTATTGACATATTCCTGTAAGAGGATGATGTACAATACTTACAAGTGACACATATTTTTGAAGAGCTCTTGCAAAGATTTAGTGTTCTGTGTTTTACCTGCAAGAAATGATCCCGAAGGCACCTCAATATATCTAGGAAACACTTTCTATAAGTAATACATTTGTAATGCTCATGTCACTGCTTTGGCAAAACAAAAGGCTGTAGATACAAATAAAAAGTACACAACATGAAAATATAACGTACAGAACAATCTTGAGACGGGTTACTTGGCATGTTTTGTTTTGTTTCGTCTTTAAAGTATCTTGAGATAAATAGAAGACGCTCAGGACATTTTATGCGTATCCATTCTAATGCTAATGAGTAATGATAAACTACAGCTCTAAACTGTTGCTATGTGTTGGTCATGTGGAAATGCAAAGCTGCAACAGAAGTTTTTTGATACTGGTATGTCATTATAATGTATAAATGTGTCCTTAGTATCACAACGTTGTTAAAGTGAGAATATGTATTATGAGTCATCATCAAAAATACCAACTGGATGCCTGTACATTTTTGTGTGTGGTCAAATACATGGTATGCCATTCATCCAGTGCCACTCACCACAAGAGCCAACTGCTCAGTTAGTTTACACATTCATGGCAGAATAAGACTGCATACCTTTTCCAAAATAAGCCCCTCTCAGTGATAGCCACAATTATCAGGACTTTACTTGTCAATGTGCAATGAGGCCAAGAGTTGCCTTGGTGTTAAAGCACGGATGCATTTTCATAAGCAGATCTGTATTCAGGATTCAACGTGAATTCACGACCAAAATCTAACCTGAACTGAACTTCCATAATTTGACACTGCCTTTATGTCTAGGGAAATGCCTACTCACTGACTTGTTATACTGCAGTGGGACATATTCTGTACAGATTTACTCACTCGGCTGAAGAAGGCACCGCCAAACTATCTGTACATTTAACCCTCCTCTGCTAAACAAAGTTACTGAAAGAAAAGGTATTGAAAAGAGCATTCCCAATTGATATGGGTGCGCTGCCTGTACTTGCACGTAATTGGGTATTTGCTCTGATTTATGGTAACTGAACATAATGGTTATACAGTGCTGGCAACTGCAAGATTAACAGAAGAAAATTCCATGGAAAAATCGTATGACCAAATATGGCTCCCCTACCAGGATTAATATCACTTTAAATCACTGATAAGCACATGTTAAAACCGTATGTCTGAGAGTCGATAAAGAGTTACAACAGCAAGTTCACATCACTTCCCAAAACTTCACAGCAATATCTGCGTGTGTGAGAAACAAGGTTAGCTGTGTGTATGTTATAGTTATTTGTATACCAGACTTGCATGATCCCTGCTGCAGCCACTGAAGGTTGTCACTTGTAGTATCTGTCATACTTTTTAAATCCTGTGATGACACACGTGTGCATGCGTTTACGCTGCGATGCAACAGTCAGTGTTGCGCCTTTGGCTTTTCATGTGTGCCCTATTCATATCAATCATGATACCTACTGCAACAGTTCCTAGAAAAGATCTTCATATAGCAAGGGGCATGCATTACATATGGTCACAGTTAAGTAAACATTGTATTGTGTATCATTTATCATTTGAGTTATTTTCATCTGGGTGCATTTGCTACAGTCATTATGTCCCTCAGCTGCAAGACGTTATGTTCCCACATCGAGATTCCATGGGTTTAGGCGTTGGTATAAACATATTTTCAAAATGACATGTGTATGTGTTGAATTTATTTGAAAATGTATTTAAAAGACTGTGTGACAGATCATTCAAAGCTGCACCTAAACGCAAATACTTGAATTGCATTTCTGTTCTGAAATCACATCAGTTTATTAAAGAAACTAAATACTGGCACTGAGAGATAGTCTTTTCATTGTGGGCAAAATCTAATGTTTTCAGCTTCTTATTTTGTTGGCTGGAAATTCATTGAGGCAGTTAACGATTCAATTAATTCCCTTGTTGTCAATGTGCATGCCCAGGAAGTCCACAATTTAGCCTTCAGCCCAGGTTTTAGCAGATTGGGAATTAAATGTGTGAAAGTAGGCCGAGCTGACTTGCAGTTAACAGCAGCATGTCAGCACACAGCATTTTTAACCTAAACATCATTAGTCTCCCCAGACTTCCCCTGCACAGAGATGTTGGCTCTTTGAGTACTGTAATTTGATCAAAGTCCTCCTAATGACCTAGTGGGCAGTAGGAAACTGCAAGAATGTCAAAATAAATGCTTATTTTCAAGATTGGATACAAAGAGTTAAAGGTGGGTAGGTAAGTTTGAGAAACTACTTATATTCCATGGAATGCTCTTAACATCCCGATAGCAATGAATATCTTAAGTGCTTTGACAAAATATCCATACAAAAATGTCATCTGTGGAAGCCGTGGCGCTGTAAAAAGCACGACCAATCATTTTAGCCGGCCCGGCTAAGTAACTGGATGGCCTACCTGCCTGTCAGCCTTCCATCTGTGCACAAACTTATCTCGTGCCCTCATTGGTCATGTGCGCGTTCGTGTGTGTTGGAGGAGGGGCTCTGTAAGGAAGTGGCAGATTTGTTCCGGCTGTGTATTTTCAAATTCTAGCACACTCGAGCTGGTTTCTCCAAAATTACCTACCCCACCTTTAACACAGAGAATTACATAGATTTTTTTATAATCCAAAACACCTAATTATTTCTTGTAGCAGTCACAAGATGATCGTTTTTTTAACACAAGTTACTGGACATTTATTGTTGGTCAGGGGGACCCTGTAAACAAGACGAAAGTCTTTCTCTGGTCTGCATCCCCTTAACAATTGTATGTTTTGAGCTGTACTGTACTGTACCCAATATACAAGCTGTTAATAAACTTTTCAATCAGTCTGAAATACTTTGTTTTTGTTTTACAGGAAAGTGTGTCCCCCTGCAGTAGACCAGTAAGAAGTGCTCTTCAATATGAATACAGGTATTAATGTATACATGTACACAAATGCTCACACACTGTATGAGATTGTTGGGGAATCATCCAGTCCATGTGCATTATTATTGTTTTCCTAAGCTGAATATTTATGTTTTTTATTTTTGCAATGGATCTTGTTTTTTTCCTGATTACAAATGAACTGAACATCAAACTATTGTTTACATTTCACACTCAACAATAGAGACCACATTGCTATTTTAAACACTGCTATGTCTGTAGCGTTGCTCTACCCCAGGCATGCATCTATAAACCTAACCCTGACCCTGTTTTAATAACCACAGTGATGTAATTCTCTCTCAATATGTTCCCAAAGCTTTGTCCTAAACTTGGCAGTCATCCCGAGCTAAAGTGTGTATTACAGCCGGAGAATCAATGTAGAGTAATCCGTCTTTGAGGCTTCTCCACACACCACACAGTGGATGCCTGACTCACCGTAGTGATATTTACAATATAGAGGACGGCCCATGAATAGCTTTGTCGAGACAAGCATTAAAACTACCACAGACAGTTTGACACACATTTTTTAAACCACGTGTATTGTCCAATATTTAAAATTGTACAGAACTGACCTAAACATTTGCTCCTGAAGTCAAGGTTTTTTACAGACTTCAACATTGTCTGTGTTAGTATATAAAATGTATGGAAGCACCAACTGAATGTTTTTAAAAGAGTATCGAAGTTATTTTACCAACGTTGAGTTGATCGAGGTCTTTCCAAAGTGTGTCACCAGGGCAACAAACAGAGATTTAAAAAATGTTTTAGCCAGATCGATACTTTCTCCTCGAAATGCAAATTACCCCCAATTAAAAAGTTTAAACTAATCCAATACAATCATATTTTGCTCTTGTGCTATACACCAGCTTCAACACATATCCTGAGCTCATTCAGTAAAAACCAGGCTCTTTAAGTGCATGTGCCTTGGCTCTGTTTTTATTTACGCATTTGTGTTTTTATCTGCATGTGCATGTGTGCTGCTGCTTCTGCCGCCATCATCACCTGCCTGGCTGTGATTTCTCAGATAGCGGAGGATGCTCTCGCAAAAGCTCGCACATGCTCTCTCCCATGAAGAGGGTCCAGAGCTCTCCAAATCTAGGCTCAGGTACTAACACTCACAAACACATTACAGATTAACAGATGATGGAAAAAGCGATATAGATAGCTAAAATACAGGCCGATTCAGGTATTGACTGGCCTTATCCCTTGAAGCATGAGGTAAGTCTTTAAACAGTGGCTTGTTTTTCAATATCATGTTTGGGCTTCACCAAACTGATATGGCTTGAGCATATTTGAAATGTTTCCATGTTTCCTCATTATGCGTAAGCAATGTTTGGACTGTGTGATGCCCTTTTTGTTTCTTATCAGTTCTTTGTTTAAGTGTTTTGTTTAGTCTCCGGACTTGGGCCTGTTTTTGCTTCCTTAATCAGTCATAATGTATTGTGATCTTGCTTTTGATAACTCATATAAATCATGATCTCCCACTGCTCCATGCCAGTGTCATGTTCTTATATGTTGTATGTCAGGGACTACGGATGGAAATTAGCTCAAAGCTAAAATCCGGCATATTTACACTTGAAGCATTATTTGTCTAAAGTGTTCATTAATGTGCATTGTCCCTATTCAAATAAACGATTAAATAAATCCCCTCCTCTTTATGGGTAGATGACTCTATGACTCTAAATGGCCCCATTTAGCTTTATACGTCCTGAACAGGGTTTCACTTTCATGCAAGCAAACGTACGGTGTATTTGCTGTATGTATACAATGTTTGCCTTTCGTTTTTACACATTATTCGAGGTTATACAGGCCAAGTTAAGATGTTTAACTGAAGAGCATTTCACATAGCCAGGGTAGGAGGAACTGATTCTAAAACATATTTTCAGCTTCCTTAAGACGTAGCTGGTCGTCCCCAGCTGCCTATTCCTTTCCTCTGCTGAAAGAGCAAAGTTAGTGCCTGGTGCTTGTCAGCATCAAAGTAAACGACTGCACCCATGTCGGAAATATTGCTCTGTCAGCTTCCTTTCAAGAATAATAGGGCTCTGTCTGAAAACTGATGAGCTGTTGTGAGATACAGAAGGTTAAGAAACATGGAAGGACTGACCAAACTCCCACTCAGAGGGCAATAGGATCCTGTGTGTAGCCACTACAGCATTAATGTGTAGGAGACATGCAGGCGTCAGCTTCTGAGGGACACCATTGCTGTTTAGCATACTGTTAAACTTAGTCTTCTTTAGTCCAAAATATGCAGCTCTGGTCTTGAATAAAACAGAGAGTATCCTCCTAGCCAAGTGGAATTAATTGACAGAGAAATATTTGCACAACTATGAAGTGGCGAGTGCAAACATTGTATCACCCAAAGACCCTCAATAGCCACTTATGGGAATATGCCAGGATGAAATGATCCTTAAAAGTCTTCTGGCTCCATGCATAGGGGTCATTCCGCTGTGTGGATTTTAATCTTTATGTTCAATAATGGGGCTCACATTAGTGTGCTCTGGAGGATTTATCTTTTATTAGTCTGGGGAGCATATCAAGTCCTGATGTGCATGAAATGCCTTAAGCACTCTCCTCATCCTCTTTTTAATGTACACAGTCTATTTTTATTTCTGTATTGGGGCCAGATACGGGTGGAACATGTGTAGACCACTGCACATAAAGAGCAACCTTCTGAAAAAAGCCTACTTTCAAACAAATAGTGTATGTATAGCTTTAATGGATAGTTTTAACGCTGTGAGGGTTCTGATTTTACAAATCTGTAATGTCTGTTGCCTGTGAATTCCTTTATTGTCACTATCCGTCTTGACATTATGATGGAAAAACTGAAGATGAAATGGTGCATCTCATCAGAATGAGTCATGTAATCCTTCAAAAAGATGTGTACTCTTTTACCTCTTCTATTTGTTTATTTTCAGATCTCTGTTTTCTCACTTAGCCCTAACATAAGGTTTCTCTTTCTCATACTAAACATTCCCAACCATTGTGAGATCATGACTGCTTTAGTAGAAACCCTATGCAGTATATTTTGACATTTGTTGACCACACATCCAATCATGTCACTTATTGTTGCTGTGTCTTCTCTATCCCCAGAGAGTGAGTGTCACTTGTCAGACTTGGGTAAGTTGCTGTTCTTTTGTAGTGAATGTAATGCTTTTTTGAGAAAGACCAGAATTGCTAATCAATGCGGTTTGTCATGGTTATATTATTAATGTTATCTCCAGATTCTTGGCGGTCCCGAAGTGTAACAGATGGCCTTAAGAATGGAGACACCAGCAACTCGTCTCTAGCTGCCAAAGGCTTCCGCAGTGTCAGACCCAACCTGCAGGACAAAAAGTCTCCAACACAGGTAAAAAGTCTCATCACACAGACAGATGTTAGCATTTCTGTTTGTACCATGTTTTAAAGCTATTTAAATCAAAACCTTGGTCTGTGACCCCACAAACTATCGTAATTATGGATAATTTACACTGAGATTTATGTGGAATATGGAAAATCATTTGTATTAAGCTTTGTATTGATGATTTTTCTCTGTTGTTGTTTGAACTTACATTGGCTGCTGCTTTGTAATAGGTCAATACGGATAATGATAATGATCACGTTCCATTGCCTCCCCCAAGAAAAGAGAGTTTACACTTCTCCCCCACTGGCACTAATCCGCCAGACTATCGCTCCGCTGTTGCCCTGCCTGATGACTTCAGCACTGGAATGCTTACATTTAAGCACAATGAGAAAGCAGTTTTAAAAGAGTCCTTCACTATTAATACCACATCCTCTTATTCTTACTCAGAGACCAATGCAAACTCAGTCCAACAGTCCACTGTAGCACATGAGGTTACAAACGGTAGTGCATCTGTCACCACTAACACACAGGCCAAGGAGCGTAAGGTGTCTTCCCTCAGAATAACCCCTGTCACCTTCGCTGACCCCCCAGCTCACCTCAACTCTCACCTTGACCCCCAACCTAAAACCCAGCCCACGGGTTCCCCTCCACCTACTTCCCCACCACCTAAAACAGATCCTACCCTAACACCAGCAGCATCGCTCTCTGTCCACACCGACTCTGAGGATCTGAAGCATCCGGAGCCTCCAAACAACACAGCAGAGCCCAGGGTCCCAGATCAAGCCCCAAATCAAACCCTGAGTCCATCTCCATCCCAGGTGGAGATAACGAAGACTCCTCCTGCCGTTCCACCAAGACCTTCTCCTGCAGAACTGTTGGTACATAACTGACTATATAGTGTAACAACAAAACAAAAGAGAGAAACGGTTGTGTCTGCTTTAAGGTCAATATAATACAAAACCGCCAGTTTACTTTGACCAGGAGGGGTTGAATTAAGAGGCTAAACATTTAAATAAGTGTGGTTTTTCTTTTGTGCTGAAGCATACAAACACTGGGAAGTATGTTGTTCATAGTGTTTGGCCTTACATAGACAACAAGAAATGCAGGAGTTTTTATCCTCTTCATATAATGCTTATGTGTGATGCTGTTTATTTTGTTAGTATTGGTGCTACCATCCAAACAACCAAACTAATTGTGGATCTACACATGTGTGATAACCAACTGTTTTAATTATTTGTTACCCCTGTTGCTTTCTGTTTACTTTATTTAATGCCCTTCACAGAGTTTGAACTAACCGCCTATCACAGCATTAACCATGTTTCAGGAGATGCAGCTGCAGCTTCATGACAGTGTGGTTTCACTGCAGCATATCGCCTTCTGTTAGGCTCACGTGTTTCTTCCGCACGTCCTCTGTGACAGCGTGGCTAATGTGTGATGTCACTAAGCCCTTCTCCTCCTTTCCTCCTTTTCCAAACAACTCCCTCTCCCTCCAACACCAGGGGCCTCCCTCCCCTGACCCCACAGCCCGGCACTCCCCCTATCGCTGCCACAGCTCAGAGTCACTGGACTACCTGCCAAGCCTAATGCTCAAGGCTCTGTCACCCAGCCCGTATGTTGCTAGTGGAGCGGGTGCAGCCAGCAGGCCGAGCCTCCCATTGGTCAGCGGTATGATCGGCGGGGGCTGTGCGTCGCCCTCGGCTTCCCCCTTGACGGTGTCAGCTCTCAGCCACTACTCGTCGTCCACGGCGGGCCTGCTGGACGAGCTGCAGATCTGTAGCCTGGACTCCCCCGGTGCCTCCCCCACACCATCGCCCACGCTCAGCCTTGTCTCCACCTACACATCCACTGTTGGCCCTGATGATGTGCTAACAACCTTTGTGGCCTCCACTGCTGCAGCAGACGCTGTTACTAATGTAATTATTCCAACAAGTCACTGCTGTAACACACATTATTAACAGAAACAAAATGTTTCCTCCTCCCCTCACACATTTCGATGGCTGAACCAATCTTTCAGGAATTGTGCTTTTAGTACCGGTTTTTGCCTTTCACTAACCATCGTCTACAGCCTAATGTTCCCCTATAATGTTCATGTGTCTGCACTTAGGACAACCTATATATGTGCTTATATGTTTCTCTTCGTTGTGCCTTTTTGTTTTTAAATCTGATGCAATTGTATTGTCACTTAAGGCCAGTTCAAATCAAAGATTCAATATGAGATAAAAACATTTTTAATAGAGGTAATAGCAGGGTGAAGTTGGAAGATTTGGCTGTTGAGTTCATTATGTAAGGTGCAAGATGACTGTAGTTACATGTATTACATTTGATTGCCCATGTGAGTAGATGTAAAGGACCGTTTCACAGAATGGTAAATCTTTGAAATACACTTCGTGTTTACACTGAATAACCATGTTGACATACTGCTTGCACTGTTTACTCCAAGCCTTGTGCATTAAAGGGAGACACATCTAGATATATGTTTCTGTTCACCAGATGCTGTTCCCAACCGTTACTCCACTCACAGATGTGCTAACTGGCTTGGTTGCTTCTACATCCAATAAAACATACATTTAGAACAACACCAAAACTTAACAGAACTTGAGATTCAACCATTGATTCAAAAATATGTTACTAGTTATAATGGCAAAATTCATACTCTTGGTTTAAAATTGTTTTCTTGTCACTGTTTTTGAGAGAGATCATGATTCTTTGATTTTAGCACACTGGCCTTAAAATTAATAACGCTTTATTTGTATCCTTTTGTCAGATGAAATCAAATGTTCCTGTGTTCAATGGGAGAGCATTTTTCAGAAAAGCTTCCCATTGTGTCCATTGTCTTTTACTAATTTAAAATGAAATTAATGTGAATCTGAAAGACTTGTCTGCTTATCGCCACCTTTTTAATCCCTTCTGTCTGTTTTGAAGTGAAGTGATTCAAAGGTGCCCCTTTCCCTCACTGTCACTAACTAACTGTTCCTTCATTGTACAGTCTCTTCAGATTCAGCAATTCCTGAATCCTACCAGTCCTAATATCTGTCTACATCTACACTGATTTCCATAATAGGCTCCTCTACCCCTTTTAATGTTAAGATTTATAACAATATGATGAAATAATGGATTTATAAAACTAACATTCTCTTGTTTTGCAATTTATTCTTCTATATTTTCACTCATTATCTAATCTTGGAGGTCAGAACAGCAACATTTCACACTATGAACAGAAATGTGTACATTTTGCTGCAATGTGTGATTTATAGTGACTATCTCTGTTTCTGGCTTGTGGATCACTCCTAGGGCCAGGTCCTCTCTTATGCTATGAATGGAAGTGCTCCTCAGAGGCCCATGTCTCCTCCATCTTATCCCCCTCCCCCCACCTCCTTCCACACTGGGCTCCAGAGACAGAGCAGGAGTTCAGGTGAGTCACAGTTCGACAGTATGACATGCAAAAATCACCAACATGCATGATAAGGGGGGTCATTATGCTTTTTAATTTTAAATTAGTACCTGCTGCTTTCTCTTGGAACAATTACATACACAGACACTCTTATATGCAGCATATAAAAGCCTTACACAAATATTAAACCTGCTCTGAATAGTTGAAGTGCTTAGAATTTCAAGAATGTGTAAATCTTTTAAGGACCTTATAATTAATCTCCTTATTATTGCCTACTCAATTCAATGGTTGGTGGATCTTACGGTTAATCTATCTGCTAAAAGCCTGAGATTAGACACCTTTATACTTGTTAGGAGAAGACGGAACCATTCAGTTGTGGGGGACAGATCAAATTAAACAAAGAAATACATGTTTTTAGTACTATTTAATCTCGAGGCATAAAAAAGAGCAGTTAATATCAGAATACATCAGTGTTTGCTTGTTCCGCTTGTGTTCGTGCCCTTTCTTGGCTAATTCACTTACTATGTAGCTACAACTTACACTGTGTCTTCTCTTTACTCTCCTCATATCCAGAGGGCAGCGAGTCATTTCACAGGGAGTCTGTGGTGCTGGGCCACACCAGTGTCAGCAGCATGGTGCCCATCGCCCGCTTCACAGAAGAGGAGAAAAAGATGTCCGTTATTAAAGCCCCTCATTATGAAGGCATCGGCCCTGTGGACGACTCTGGCATCCCTATCGCCATCCGCACGGTGAGGTCAAACACTTGCAGGGATAAGCACATTAGTGTGCAGTAGAATGACTCCGTTAGGTACTGTAGTATTTTTGACCTATTTCCCCTGACTTGAATCTTGATATGCGATCAGGCCAGAGTTGAATACCTTCAGCTGTCAGCATATTTTCCCCCAATATAAAAAGCCCTTTCTCTCTCCTCACCATCTCTGAGAGTCTCTCTTCTTCCCTCTGTGATATAATGTTGAGCTCAGACAAGGTCTTTGCTTAAGCACTGCAGGGTCCTTGCTGCTTACTTGTCAAAGTGTCTGTCTGTGTGTTATCTTTGTTCAGGCTTTTCCTGTATTAACACTTCACTTAGTTATCCATTTTTTGAAGAGCATGCATTTAAAGGCCGACAAGTTCAACTACAGAATGAGTGAGCCAGAGAAAGTAACAGGAAGAATGAGAGACAGCCAATAAAGTAAAGTGAAAAGGTGAAGAGAAAAAAAAGCTGAAAAACAGATGCTTCTTGTTGTGAGCAGACAAACATTTTTGCGGGCACTTTATTTGGTAGTCATGGAGAGTGAAGTGGTAATTGGGCCGTCTGTTGGCCGTGCCAATTCTACATGCTCAGTCACACACACACTCCTTCACTGTGGAGCCGACCTGCCTCGTCTCTGACCAGAGTCCAGCCACTGGGTTTAGTGCCACTGAATAAAGGGAGGATTAACTCTCTGCCATTTGATAGCTCCTTTTTGAAGTTGCTTTTAGATCTATCCTGTATGCACAAAGACACACATACCACGGGTTCCCCTGGATTTTCCAGCCAGGAGCTCCCACTTTGGTTTTGTAGAAACATGGCCTCTGTATCCTCTATTTGAAACCAAACCTGCTCACATTGATTTCTGAGAATAGGCACAATCGCCTTAACATTAACAAAAATGGAGTTTACCAAATTCCTGTTGGCACTGTCATATTTTTTTGGGTTTTATTGGCTGTGTTTAGATTTTCTGGTAATTTTTTGTGAGTATGTTTAAAAGCTGAAATACCCACATTATGATGAAACACCGTTAATTTAGTTGGAAAATGATAAAATGACTCGCGACAACTCACAGTGAAACAGAAGTTAGAGTCTTTATGTTCTCTAATGTGAGCTATTTATTTCTAAGCAAGGATTTGTAGACAAGGTTATATCTACAAGAGAGATTGAAATAAAATCCCAAAGGTTTGATTTGATTGCTCCAAAGTAGGCCTGGTCTAGAAAATATGAAGCGATATGGAGCTTTGCAGTACTGTTTGCCTCTAGCTACTCCTCCCACGTCTGCACCTTATCAGGAGAAGTTGGACGCCAACCACATTCTTTACAAATGTTTTTTTCCAAACACACATCCTACTATATAACATTCTGCTAGCTAACACAACTTACATGCTCATAGTCTAGTGTGGTTTTATATATTATGCTTAAACTCCCAGCTACAACTGTAATTGAAATGTAGATTTATGTCTAGAGTTCAAGATGATTTATCACACGTTTTTTCAATGTTTTACTGGAATAGAATAGGAAAGCATTTTGATTAAAAAATACTTCAAAATGGAAAATCCTTGTGATGAATATACAATTAACCCACGGACATAGAATTGGAACTAGGGAAAGCTATTTTTCATTTCACTGTCATTTATCTGTAATGGATTGGATGTGAGTGTGAGAATCATGCTGTTCATTGTTTCTTATTAGCTGTAAAATAATTCAATTAAATATCTTACTCAGACAAATTAAGAGCACATACCTTGTAATTAGTTAAACAGCCAGATATAAATGATTTTTTACAAGGGTATTTATTGTTAATAAGTAAAAAGGAGACGTTATCATCCTGAAATCGTATGGAAAGTGTCTCAAAGGATACATCTCAATTAATGGATTCATGTCTCAGCATACGTTAAATTCTCTTGGAGTGAAATATGGTTCTCTAAAAAGGCTGAGTGTGATTTTCTATACTCGATAAGTTCTCCGTCCCATAAACCAGTTGCAACCTTTCTAACTTCAGCTATCATCGCGTCTCATCAATCTTTATGATTATTTCTCTCTCCACAGACGGTGGATAGGCCGAAGGATTGGTACAAAACTATGTTCAAACAGATCCACAAGGTTCACAAAGCAGGTAAGAAATGTCCCATTATTGATGTGATTCGAACATCAGACAATATGAGAGGAATTGACCAAGCATGCATGATGGGTACGCGCGTGTGTGTATATTTGTGTGTCTGTCGAATTCTTGTTAAGCCAAAAGACCCAGAGCTGCTCCGAGCCAGAACTCATTAGATGAGAGCAAGAATGTCTGGAGAGGAGGAGGATTTGAGAGAAACCGCTAATAGACACAGAGCTATCCTGGGAAATCTGTTTTATGGGCTCGACAGTATCACAGTCAGTTCAAAGCTTGTTTGTTCTAATCTTCTCATGCTTCTTCTGCTGCAGCACACACGCAATGTGTCATTATGGCCTACAAGAACACACACAGGCCTTTGATTATCTTGCAGTGTTACCATGACTTTGTTTATTCACATATTCTCAGTTCATGTATTTAGTAATATTACATTTCCAGCAATGTCTTATCTTTTAAGAAACCCCCTGTGGTCTTACTGAAGAAGTCTGGGAAATACAGCCACTAATACTCATAGTTATATAAAGATATGGTTCAAGCTACTGATTCTGTAGGGTGTTATGACCTTTCGCGAATCAAAAATAAAAAGCCATACTGGATTTAAAAAAAGGGTGTTGGTGTCATCCTAAGCTTGTGGATAAACAGAGGAAAAGTGTTTTTTGCTGCTTGGGTGATTTTGATAAATGTGAAAAATGTTCACTATTGGAAATTACTTTGTAACTGATTGTATTCAAGCTGACTAAAAGTGGTGTTCTCCCAGGAGAGGAAATTACACACTGGACTGTAAAGTATGTTTGTGCTTGTATCCCAATAAATCATTCTTCTTTTGTTCTACAGATGATGACTATTCTGACACGTACAATGCAACATACGCTGTCATAAACAATGGTGAGAATAGCCTTGCGTATAATTAAAGTAGTGTCATTCAATAAATCATTCCTACCTAACACATCTGTCTCCTTTCTGGCTGGGTTTACCTCTTTGCTTCACCTTTTCCTCATCTCCTCCGTCCTTTCCTTAACAGATGACTACAGCGTGTCGTCCGGCACCACCATGGCCCACCCCGCTCCCCGAACACACACGTACAGGCCACTCGCCAAAAGCCCCTCGGACAATGGAGGGCATCTGGGCCCTCGGGAGCCCTCGCCATCCCCTGTACCCCCCCCACCTCCATCCATGCCATCCCTCCTCCAACTGAGGGCCAGAGACAGTGACCGTGAGAGAGACTCGCCCGACACGTAAGAGGAGCTTTTTCTCTACTACTTAATTTATTACATTTATTATTATCTAAGCAATTTAAATCTCCTCTTTTCATGTACATGAATTAATAAATTGAATGGATTAACTATGTTTATGTAATAGTTATATTTATTTTTAGACAGTTTAAACTAAAACATTTGTGATAAACTATATTGGTAAATGATTAAATAACTTTTTGTCTGTTTTCTAATAAACACTTTTCTGTTTTTCTTGCACCAGGAATCAGTGGGGTCCTCCCGACAGGAAAGTGGATACTCGAAAGTATCGTGCAGAGCCTAAGAGTATTTTTGAATACGAGCCTGGGAAGTCCTCCATTCTGGATCATGAAAGACCAGTGAGTATATTTTGTAATGTCATTTTCTGTGATTGCTAAAGAATATGACTTCTTGTCAAGTTTAATCCACCTAAAAGTTGGTCGCCATAATCACATTACTGCTTCCCTTCATGTGTGATTAACCTGTGAGGCCTTTAGGAGCCAATCTGCAAACAGCTCAGGCTTTAATATTTCAACGTTCAGTAGATGTGGATCTTGCTAACCCAGCTGGTTTCAAATTAGCGTTTGGGATTATATTTATATCATTTTTACATTGAAGTGATTTCTGTATTTGTTTATGCTTATACTTGTTCAGTAACATATTATTCATGTTGCTGATCTTCTTTACCTGGGTGAATTTATATAGATGTAAACAACTAAACATTAGGCAACATGATGTCAAAGAAACACTGCAGAGATGGTGCTACAGCCTTAAAAACTGGATAGTCAAATACAAAAAATAAGCACATGTACCTTTCTTCCTAATGTGTTTCTATATAATGGGCTTTTTCATGGACTTCTTTCCGTCAGACACAGTGTGGGCGGTAGAAAGCGAAGGTTTTCAGCGCTGCTGCCCCACTAATGACTGTACTGGCTGTTCACTCTGTGTGGGGTGAATGACAAGGCAGACAGCAGAGATAATTACTGTGTAGAGGAAGGGCAAAAATAATTGGAAGCAGGTATCTGACATAAAGAACAGGCTAATGGAGAATGCATTATAGATGCGGGGTCTGTTATGTAGCAAAAGGAAAAGGTATTTGCGAAGGTTTTGTAGATGTTTAATGTAATGACGGCAGAGAGCTCTCTCAGGGCAATAACACACGAGTCAGTTCCAGATAAGGCAATAAAAGGTGAAGCTGTAAAGAGTAGAAGAGAACCCACGCTGGCTTATATGTTGTCTGAGACTTCTTATATGTATGTTAAGAAGCTTTTTCTCAATTTTCCAGGTTAGAAAAAGGCTTCCGATAACATTATGTTTGTCTGTGAAGGGTCTATTTGGTTTCCAGTAATGAAACATAGCAAACACATTTTTTTTTCTGGCACTCTCTTTGTTTAGTTTCTCTGTGTGTCTTCACAATTGGCAGTCTCTGCTCTAGGCTCTCACTTTTTTACAGGGTGACTCATTTGTCTCAAAGCTGAATTATCTTTTTAGAAACGGGATGTAACACAACAAGACTTACAAAACGTCTCCTGGCAGTGTTTCATTTGGCCTGAAATCTCCATTCCCATTTCCATGTGGGAATAAGGTTAGAAAAGAGCAGACAAGTAGTAAACCAATGCATCATCTCTACAGTTAGAATAACAGTCAACTAAATAAACCTCTTGAATGTAGTGGAAGCAGAAGTGTGTAACATAAAGAAAGCTGTTGGAGTTTAATGATTCATGTCTACACAGCAGTCACATTATGTAAGCTTACCTGTCTAATTTAGTGGCATGTAAATACCTACATCACATGTGACGTCTTTTATTGCAGGCTGGTTTGGTATGAAAATATATCTCTGTGATACAAAGGAAGTGTTTGGCACTATAATCTATCATGTGACCTCAGCATAAACATCTGTTTCCTAAAGTCAATTGGTCCATCATGCATGCAAAATAGTGGAGGATCAGTGCAGCCAACAACACTCATACTTTATCAGTATGAGATAAAGCAGCGTTAGACGGCAGCTGTTGAGCCTCAATATGAAAGAGGCCTTTCAATCCTTAACCCTAAATGACATTTTACATCTGCCATTCAAAGAGTCATTCTTTAAACATGAAGGGGTCAAATGAGTTCATTGGGCTGTTTATTTGTATTACATATCAAAAACGAGCACTTTATATAAAACATTACAAGGAATTAAAAGAGGAATATAAAAGTAACAAAAGGTAATATGAAGAAGGCATAAAGATAGGATTTAAAAAGAGTAATATAATAATAAACAAATAATAATATACTTATTTATAATTAGCACTGTCTTCATGGTGTGCATGTTTATCAATATTATTACACAACAATTAAAACACATAGTCAGTATGTTAACTTTGATCAGGTATTTCAGGTGTTTAAGTGAGTAACACATGGATCAGTTTAATGGCTGACTGATACCATACTGTTCCCACCAATTTAGAGATGAAAGTTACTGTACCCTATGGGTATGACCCCTTGTGTCTTCTCCAAACACTTGCAATATGTGCCCCTTTCTCTTCTTCTTAAATATAATTACTACCTCTGATGAGGATTTGGCCTTTCCCTGACATACGGTATTGAGTGTTCCATCCACTGCACGAAGGTGTGGATAATGAGGCTGGATGTTAAATATGTAATGCTCAAAGTAACACAGTTTTCTCATTATCTGTCACCTGAGCAAAGGCTTAAAATAAAGCAGTGATAATGTGATTATGTCATGGGATTGACAGCCCTGATTGCTTGTATGCAAATTAAACGAATGTCTTTATTATATGACACTAGTCTAAACTGCCTAAGAAGCTTTTTGGAATTACTGTCAAGTAGTGAAGCGAAAAAAATTCTGCCGGATTTGTCAGGAGTGAATTGTATTTTGCATCACTGCATTCTTCCCCATGAGCCAGTCTACATCTTCATCCTGTGCCCATCTCCCTGTGCCACCTACGCTAATTCCTAACCATGAGGTCCATGTCTCTCTCTCTCTCTCTATGTGACTTCTTTCCACACTATCCTTCCTGTCGTTCTTCTCCCTCCTCTCTCTGTCTCTGTCATGCTCTCCCAGAACTATGATGACATAGATTTAGAGAACGAGCCTTGGTATAAGTTCTTTTCCGAGCTGGAGTTTGGGCGGCCGGTAAGTCAGGGCCGTAGCTACTCCCTCAACCGCAACCCTGCCATAGGCATACACCCACTTTCTCCACTCCACCCATGTTTTATTTTTGTCTACAGGTAGAATGGGTGGAGCTAGTTGTTTGGGCATGTGGTACTTGTTGGGTGCTGTGACCCCCCCTCCCCCCACCCTTGTGACAGGCTGTGTTATGTCTCTGCGTTGCTGGGTTTTTTGGTCTGGTGGCTAGCAGGCACTGAAGTGTTCACACACACACACACAAACACACCTGGAAATTTATTTTCAGTCCTGTGTTGCTAGGAAGGAAAATAGGTCAAAATGTGTGCTCCATATCCTTTAGATGACCTGACTTATTGCTGGTTGAACTGCACAGAACAGTCAGTCAATCTGTCTATCATAGCATTATATATGCAAAATATCATTTTTCTAATGATAAACATTCGGATTTTTCTACATATGTAATCATCTTTTTCTATTCAGCCCATTTTTTCATTTCTGCTAGTAGTTCTGTTTATCTTTTGCTGGAGCAACGCTCTGCATATCTACAAGCTAAATGCTGTAGTGCCCTCTGCTGGATGTAGCTAGTAATAACAACTAGTGGCTCAGGGCAGGCATTGCCTCTAGCCACAGATCTGGGATCAAATCACCCCAACCTGACTGATTTACAAAGTGTCATGCCTCTATCCATGCCAGAACATGACATCAGGTGATGGTTTGTTGGGCTTATTCGAAATGTTCAGCAAAAAATGTCACATCTGGAGCTGGCATGACTTTACGGAGTCATGTTGGAGCGTGTTGACATGTTTAACCTGCAATCATTTCACTGTTTCACACCACTGAATAAGCCCTTAGAGTTTAAATGGCTTCTCTACATGCACTTGCTGGTCCAGCTGGGACCGAATCTCACTGTATGTTTAGTGTTTGAGTTTTTATTTCGTTGACATGTCACCAGAAGTTTTGATGGACTAAGTTTATATGCTCTATTAAACCTGCACTAAATCACAGCATTAGAAATAAACACAACACTGCAGCTTGAGCTTCACTTGGCTTTCTGCTTTACAGCTTGCTCTCACACTCTGCATGTGTGTTTGGAACGTGGGCACATTTGTTTGCGTGTGTGTGTTTGTGTTATAGAAGTTGATGTAGTAGGCCTTATTAATTTTAGCATAAACATACTGTTGTCTTTATGTTGCTATTTTGAGATAAGCAAACAAACAAAGCATCAATAGAGGATTTTATAATCTGTGTGTGTGTGTGTGTGTGTGTGTGTGTGTGTGTGTGTGTGTGTGTGTGTGTGTGTGTGTGTGTGTGTGTGTGTGTGTGTGTGTGTGTGTGTGTGTGTGTGTGTGTGTGTGTGTGTGTGTGTGTGTGTGTGTGTGTGTGTGTGTGTGTGTGTGTGTGTGTGTGTGTGTGTGTGTGTGTGTGTGTGTGTGTGTGTGTGTGTGTGTGTGTGTGTGTGTGTGTGTGTGTGGTCCTTATTACTCAGATTCTCTAACAGGTGTCACTCTCTCCACATGTTTCTCGTTAATTGGTTTCTCCCCATGGTGCCACACCTGCTTCTCCTCCTTCACCTCATTTTCACCTTCTTCCTATTCATCCTCCTCCTCCTCCTGCTCACTGCTGCTGATTGTGGCTCAAGCCTCCTAAAAAAAGGCTGGATTATAATCCAGACATCTCCGCTCGCCAACGCATTGAGGTAATCTCACATTCATGAGTATTCTAGTAGTGTTGTAAGTCTCACAATTTATAATAAATCAGAGAAATCTCAGTCATTATATTTTGTTGAAGACAATTCAATATTGGTTAAACGTGTGTAATTTAATTGATCAACAATTCAGTTTCAAGCACAATATGAGTATATTGTTGCTTTGTAAAGAACGTTGAATTTATAACTTTGAAGCTATTTGTATGGAAATCTATCTGTTAACATCGTATTCCTTGGCAACCTTAATGAAGCTCTAGATTTCTTTTTTTCTTTCTTTTTTTACCTCAAAACATAATTCACTAGAAATCTTTTTTGATGTTTTTGTAAGGGCATTTGATAGTCCCCAGAAAGTCCATTGCAGTTTAAGAGAACCGACTATTCTTCACCACTAGACCCATTCCACCTGATCCATGCCAGATTTTGCAGGACATCATTTGCCCCCTGAGCTCAGCTCATAACATCCTTTGCTGTATTACCTATGCCATTCTCCTTCTGAGCAGCCCAAGAGGAAGCAGAGTTGTATCTTTACCGCTTACACCGGTAGGCCTCTTTTTGCTCAGGTGTGCCATGTGGAACCAGCTTTCATCGCACCTTATGCTGGGGGAGAGTTTTAAGTGTGGCACAGCATCAACCGCATGCAGGCTGTGCATTGTGAGGTGTTCTGCCTCGAGTCTTTGTTCCTGCGGACCTCACTATTCTCTTTTGTTGTCTGCCCTATTTCAGACATCCCTGCATATTCCTCCTGCTGACACGGCTCCAGAGAGACCTGCGAGGTAACCTCTGTTTCTTTTATTTTCCTCTGCATCACCCCTCCCCCATCCTCTCTACAGGACCGGTCCTTGTTGTGATACAGCAAGGAATCAAAACTGCTCTTTGTTGCCATGACTCTGGTGCATGTAGCCTCTCTGTCTGCTATTTATGATGATTTTTGCAAGATTAGTGTTACTCTTTATTTGTGTTTGCCACTGAAGCAGGGCAATTAGCATATCCCTTTCACAATCTGAGCCAGATTAAATTAACCCAGCAAACCTATTGATTCCGTCCTTCACCTCTTACCCTTCCCTCAACCCCCCCTCGTCCCTCCCTTCGTCCTATTCCCTTTCACCAATGGCCTGCTTATTCAGTCGCATTTTCCTTGGTGAATAGGAAGGGCATAAATGGGACGAGATGAATAGACCATGTAATTCATGTCAGTGGCATTGGGTGTGTTTGTTCTGAACATAAAGCCCATTGGGTTTTAAGAGATTTTGAATAACGGAAGTCATTCCTTAAGAAAATGTAGATTTTTTCTTCCTGTGGTCTGTTTTCCTTTTATCTATCCTTGCAGAGGACAGCATAGAAGTGAGGTAGAGAGAGAAAGGAGGGGGTGGGGGGCTGACATGCAACAAAGGTCCCAAGGCAGGAATCAAAACCGGGACGCTGCAGTTAGATGGCATGTGCTTCTCAGTTTAATAGGCACACAATGATAGTGAACCTTTAAGTGGGATGACCTTCGCTATACTGTATACTTCGGTATAAATTCCTAACATTGTTTGGCTTAGAAGCTTGCTATTACTCATGTATTGTTATATGTTGGTCCATAAGTAGTTTGAGTATACTGACTATACACATGTTCCTCCTGCAAATGGCGTACAGCACTGTAAAGAGATTTGAAAGTAGTTTTCATTGATGTCTGACTGTGTTGCAGTGCTGCCAGTGACTACAGGAAGAGAAGGAAGTCTGAGCCGTCCAATTCCCAAGTGAATGCCCAGTCTCACAACAGAGCTGTGACTTCGCCTAAACCAGTGGATGCCTACAGACCGAGCAGCAGCCTAAAGAAGCCTGTGGTTCGTTCCTCACCAGCCTCACCCGCCAGAGCCAAAGGTACAGGCATTTAAACGCAAACATTTCAATTTCACTTGATTGTTTTTTCTCTATGAATGTGTATTTTCCCTTCTCTTCCCCGGACTAAAATATGTGTACTAACCATGTTGCCAATAAATCAAAGTACTTTTTGTCCTCGTTTGTTGTGTTTTTTTTTGCTTTACAACGCCTGTCTGGTGTCCTCATAAGTTTCCTTGATAAGTATTGGTTGAAGTCAGAAGCAAACAACCTCAAATCATCTTTTTTTCCACCTTTCCTAATTTCTTTCCTAGTTCTTCTCCCTCTCCCCAGCTCTTCAATCTTTTTTTGCTGGGTATTATTGCTAAAAATGCTTTCCTCCTTCTTCTCTTTCACAATGCTGCTCTCTGTTGGACATCTGAAAGGTGGGGACGCATGCAACATGTATCCAAAAAGTTTGACCTCCCCAGGTCCTTATCAACCAACCTTTCTTCCCCCTGTCCCCTCTGACCCTGACGCTGAGGATGCCAGCCAGGAAGGCAGCACCTCCTCTAAGCAGTCTGTCTTTTGTAAGAACAGTTGGGAGACAAAATGCGAGGATACTGAGACTTGCAGCAGTGCTGACGAGGTCCCGCCCATCCCTGGCAAGATTAAGTCACGTAGTTGTGACGACCTACTCAACGATGGGCATTCTGGCGGTGGGCGAGCCACCCGCTCAGAAAGTGCTGGGTCACTGGTTTGTGATGGGAATCCCTCAGGTTCCACTGGATCCATCTCCACTCACTCATTGCCTCGCCTCCATCGGCGCCGGGCACACGATTCACCGGGCTTTCTCAAGCTCTATCGTAAGATGCACCATATCGACCGCACTCAGCTCATCCCATCTGAAGTCATCCGCTCAGTCCGTGCTCGCATCCTGGAACTAGAGAGCCAACCTCACCTTCATCTCCATCGCCTCTCTCCGTTGACACCCACCTGGGGCATGGAGGTGCAACCCGATACGGTGCCAAGTCACATTTCTACATTTGAGAGCCTTATTCAGAAGTCCAAATCCATGCCCAACTTGGACGGTGAGTTGCCTTCTGGCACTACCACGCCAGGTGGCTCGTCTTCTCGAGCCAGCAGTGGTGGCGGTGGTACACCTAGTTTTCCTAAACGCCGTTTTTCCATAGAATCTTTACTCGAGGAAGACAACAACGGCAATGGTGGAACAGTACCTCACAGCATGGACCACCTGCATCGACCCCGCAGCCCCCCTGAAGGCCAGCCTCGTATTGGGCCAGAGCCCGGCCGTGGGCGGTCCTTTCCTGCTCCTCCTGTTCCCAAAGGCCCACAAGCCAACCCAGACTACTCTGACAGTGAACAGGACGCTATTGCGTCAGACCTCAGTGACTTCATTCAAGTGGAGGGCTCCTCATTCTGCAGTGAAAGTGACTTTGACCATTGCTCACTAACCTCTTCTGAGAGCTTGTACGGCTCTTCTAACCTTCACCACCACCACCTCCGTCATCACCACCACCATCACCAGCCTGGACACCAGAGTCTAGGCCAGAGCCAGGGCTACCAACACCGCCACCTCATCAGCTCCTGCAAAGGCCGCTGTCCGGCCTCTTACACCCGTTTCACAACAATGCTGAAACATGAGAGAGAACGAGCGCGCCAGGAGCACCAGAGACCTTCACAGCCGAGCCGCAGCAGCCATTCCCAAATCCGGAGTGCACAGTCCCAGCAAGCGATGTCCAAGCTGGCCTTCCTGGTCAGCCCAGTGCCTTTCCGCAGGAAAAAGGGCTCACCACCTACCTCTAGAAGAAGCAGTGGTGGCGATCGAGGTAGCAGAACCAAGTCCAAACAGGACATTTATGAAGCACTGGATGCAGCCTTGAGAGACATATATGAGCACATCCAAGCAGAGAGAGGCCACAGAGGAAATAGAGCACCTGATGACAGCATCCTGAGGAGAATACTGTCAGAACTCCTGCCAAATGTGCCTGAACGAAGCTCTTCATTGCGGGGGAGGAGGGGCTGTTGGCAGGGCGGTCAGTCCTCTACATCTTTGTACCCAGATGGGAGCCCCACTGGGTCCTCCTCACAAAGAGGGGATCCCTCCACACCGCGGCTACAGTCACCAATCAATGCCTGTTACGACGCCTCAAACAATAATGAGTATGAAGAGGAGCAGGGCAATGGAAATGGTCTCAGTTATTCAGGTGCAGATTTTACACATTTCACAAATGTTTGCACGTGTACACTTTGTCATTTAGCCAGTTATATCTGCATGTTTTTTATTTGCATAAACATACACTTATATGCATATATATGTACCAAATATGCATCCCCATACATTTACCTCAATGTCACTAAGTATTGCATGGGCTTGTTGCCCTATTTCATTCATTGGTCAGTTTATACATCCGGTACTTTGCTTTTCTTTCTTTCTTTGTCATTCAGTAAGACCTGAATGCTGTTAATTCTCAAATCAAAGTGTTGAAAAAATATTGTTTTCTGTTTTAAGAAAATGTGAAACCAAACACTTCCCTGCTGATGAAAGTTCTGCATCTCAAATGGAAGCATGAAGTATATAAAATATTTGAATGACTGTAGCTAATGCCAAAAAAAACATATAATGTAGGAACAATTGGAATTAAATCTTGAAGGGTACTTACATGTCTGAAAGAGAGAGACATTTAGAGCATCAGATCTGTAAATAAAAGCAGTATAGCTTCTTAAATTTGATATACTCATTGTTTGAAAATTAACAGCATATTACTCTGGTTGGAGTAAGTTATTATTTCTCTGTTTATAATGTTATTATTATTTTGTTTTTATGATTTGTCTTTTTTGCAGTTTATTTATGCTTTGTCTGATTATCCAATAATCGTTCTTTCCTTTAAACCATTTGGTTATATGTTTATGTTTGTAAATGGTCTTTTTTGGCCTGTTTTATCATGCGTTTCAGCTATTTTTGATGCATGAGTCATATTCTGGGTTGTTTCCAAATAACTGGAAATAAAACACCTTTTGACCCTAAACTTTCATCCCTCATTCACCTGTAGGAATGGCGTCGTCATCATCCTTTGCCACAGCACTTTTTTGTATTGTGAAAATGTGACATAATTGTGGTTAGTATATGGTTACTCTCATGACCTTTCTCACATGTGTTTGCTAATCACAGACCAGGATGTATCCAGGTGTTATTCTACCGTGGATGGACGCCACACACCCCAGAGTAGAAGACCTACTCCTGATAGAGAGGTACAACATTGTACTCATAACACTAACGTTCACTTCATTAAGAGAATCGATTAATACAAATAAGTATTGCGTTTTTTTTGTCTTAAGGATCACAATGCCACACATTTTGATGATTCTCACAGAGATTGTAAAGCAGTTTTTTTATGTTTTGCTTGCCTGCTTTCTTTCTCTCACTTTCATCTCCTAGGTCTCCCATAAACAGATGACACAACTTATTCTGTTCTCTCTCCTCCATCAGAAACAGCCTGCAAGAGCCATTTATGATTTTAAGGCACAAACAGCTAAGTGAGTACAGGAAATGCACAGTGCACGCGCAAAGGGAGCCAAGCTTTTAAGCATGAACGCCTAACTGCATACCGACACATCTCGAGACATTGCATTCAATGTTATGGTTTGAGATTGCTGTGCTTTTTTGTAAGATGTTTTGCTTTTTAAGAACACTTAATTGACACATCTTACCACCAGACTTGGATGGCTTTAACTAATTTATTTTATGCTTTAAATCACATGTGTCAAACTCAAGGCCCGGGGGCCAAATCAGGCCCGCCAGTATATTGCACGCACACCTTCACTCAATCCTGAGGATTTGCTCCGCTCAGAGCCTGAGCCCAAACATTGATGAACTTGCACCCAAGATGAGATGCCAAGTATCTGCTTGAACTAGCATCACAGAGCAGCACACTGAGTTTAATGGATGTTTCCTTCTGCACTTTTTCTCTTGAGACAACAGGGCATGTTTTGTTTTTTCTTTGAGGGAAATAGTTTTGTTGAAGTTGTTGTTGGCCTTTGGAAAAATGTAATCATAAGAAATGACTCTGGGAAAAGCTGCAGATAGAGCCATAAGAAATGAATGCAACTGATTATTTAATGTTTAATGTGGTTTTTATAGGCAATCATTTAAGCTTTGTTAGTTCCAGGTTTAATATGTGCAATAAGTTCATTTCAATAAGTTCTGCAATAAACATTGAACCAGTCCGGCCCTCGACTAGTACCCATTTTTTTATTTTGGCCCACTGTGTATTTGAGTTTGACACCCCTGCTTTAAATATATGCATGAATAACACTAATTTGGGCTGCATTTGATCTTCTTCCATATCGTGCTTCACTGGCTAACGTTTTGTGACGGGTGTTTCTTTGCTGGTTGAAGTTGTGAGTTTATGTCTTCTCACACCTCTATGTTGGCACTTTGATGACATGAATGTGTTGCAGGGAGCTGACATTTAAGAAGGGTGATGCAGTGAACATCATCCGACAGATTGACAACAACTGGTATGAAGGAGAGCACCGCGGACGGGTGGGGATATTACCCATATCATATGTAGAAGTAAGTCTGCAACTATTAAACTGAACACCTGTATAACTGTGACTACAGGTGCATCCTCTTGTGTCTTATATGTAATTTGTCTCGATGGTTTGTCTTTTCTTTTTACACTAATGTACACGCATAAACAGAAGATGCCATCCTCAGAGAAGCAGCAGCCGATCCGTCCTCCTCCACCAGCACACGTCAGAGAGATCGGAGAGGCAATAGCTCGCTACAACTTTAATGCTGATACTAACGTGGAGATGTCTCTCAGAAAGGTAGCCTGTTTATTGTTTATTAGAAAGCTGCACCAATGTAACGGGGCTTGTTATAATCAATAATAATGATTGGAAACCTTGCATTCTTTTTTAGAAACAATACTTTTTTGAGTTCATCAACCGGTGGTAGTGATTGTTTAAAATTAAGATACAAAATATTTTCATATAATCCAGATTAAGTTACAAGGCCACTGTTTAACTATCCAACAGTGATATACAATTTAACACGGTTTTCAAGACAGAGCCTAAGATTTGTGTACTTCACAGAAAGCTAATGGCTATTGCTAATTTCATAGCTCGTCCCTAGTTGGGCTTTTTTCATGTGCTCTGGGGCTATAATGGAGATATGTTAAAGCTACTGTGTATAAAATGTTTATACGTTTTGTCTGTTGCATAATAAATTATACATTGATAAATAGCAATACAACTGAAGTCTGAAATCCTACAAGGTGGCGCTAAACCTTTGAGTTGTGGTTAAAGATCAAATGTTTATTTTTTGTGTGTGTGTGTGTGTGTGTGTGTGTGTGTGTGTGTGTGTGTGTGTGTGTGTGTGTGTGTGTGTGTGTGGTGTGTGTGTGTGTGTGTGTGTGTGTGTGTGTGTGTGTGTGTGTGTGTGTGTGGTGTGTGTGTGTGTGTGTGTGGTGTGTGTGTGTGTGTGTGTGTGTTGTGTGTGTGTGTGTGTGTGTGTGTGTGTGTGTGTGTGTGTGTGTGTGTGTGTGTGTGTGTGTGTGTGTGTGTGTGTGTGTGTGTGTAGGGTGAGAGAGTAATTGTGATAAGGCAGGTGGACGGGAACTGGTACGAGGGGAGGATCCCAGACACAACCAAACAGGGCATCTTTCCTGTGTCGTATGTTAACATCATCAAGCGCTCCCCGTCCAAGAGCTCCGCCCACCACATAGACCCACATGGTTACCCTGGCAACAGGACACCCAGCTCTACACCTACCAAGGTAGGAGAATCACTACAACAAGGTGACAACAAGATAGTCGACACCTGTACAATAGAGTTACAAAATTCAAAAACAGCAATTTGTTATTTATTTACTGGTTAGAATATAGCATTTACAGCTACTTTATACAGTAATTAGTTGGTTTATTTAAAATGTGCATATCTTTATTTGGTTACTTTCCAACATAACAATTGTCGCCAAAAGAAATGCCAATATATTTAAAGAAATGGGTAAAAACATCCTCTGCATAGAGGAGTATGTAGAGCTTTAAACACACACCACACACTGCACTCTGTTACATTTTTGGAATTACATTGTTCTTTCTTTTTCACTTCACCTTCATGAAGCCTTTCTACCATCTACCTCCACCCCCCACTCCTCGTGACCTCCCCTCCCCTCACCCCCCGTTGAGAAGGCCTGACCTGCAAACTATCACCGAAGAGTGGCTGGCCCTCACACTGGAGCCTTCTGCCTCCTCTCCATCTCGCTCCGTCACTACCACCCCCACTCCGCCCACACCCCCACCTCTCCCCTCTGACCTGACACCTTTCCATAAGGCTCAGGATTTTATGGCACCATCAGCTGCACAACCACAGAGAGGCTTCGCCCTGCCGCCCCCGAGGTCTTCCATAAATTCTCCTTTCAGAGACGGGAGACTCAGTTTAGGTCACACCTCACCAACCCTGCCTTACTCCCCACCGCCTCCTCCTCTTCCTCCGCCTCCTCCTCCTCCCCTTCCTTATTCCTCATTTTCACCTCCACTGCCTGAGCCTTCAGTGCGATACAACAGTGGCAAAGGAATAGCTCGACGATCACAAGTCTCTAAGCCAAAGGTGTTTTCCTGCACAGTGCCAGAACCAATAAAGTCACCTACACCAACTGTGGAAGTTAACAAAAGCAGCATAATGGCTGAACTGCAAGTAAAAGACCCTTACGACGACCTTTTGTCTATGATTATGGATGATTCTACCACTGCAGAAGTTCCTGACTTTTCAAGATTGTCTCCGATAGATTTCCCACTAACCTCGCTAACCAATGAAACCCAGGGCAGATTTAAATCTAAAGCAGAAGAATCCGATCAGCCAGAAGTAAAACCACGAGCACTATCTCCATCCAGCGACCTGATAGGCAGCGATAGGTTAGACGAGCAGCTTCACAAGCCTCTGACTATGGAATCACTTCCCATGGCTTGGGGGGAGCAGTCAGAAACTCTGATTGAACAACGATGCGAGTCTGAAAGCCCACCATCGATGACAGGAATGGGATTTGAGTTGTTCATTGAGGAAGAGGATGAAGATATAGAGGATAAAGAGGAGGACATTAAAGGTTTTAATGAGAGACTTGGCCCACAGGTAGAGCATGGTGTGAGCTGCTTCTGTTGAGTTTGGAATTACTACTGGGCCCTGGAAGAGAGATGGAGGACATTTTGAAATCTTAAAATAAATAGATCTAGTTTTGCATTGTCTTGTAAATATCTATCACAGGGGTAAATCTACTTGTGTCCTGTAGCCACTTTTGTATCCTTAATGCATTAACCGACCATCAATATGTTCAAGATCAACAAAAAAGCATCTAGCAATATCCATAGTGGCAGTTATTTTATGATTCATAATGGAAACTGAGGAAGTTTACCTGTTGTTTTATATCTTCATCCAAAGAAGTTGATGTGACTTTGCACAATGTGAATTTATATCATTAAAAAAAACTAGTGAGAATTTATAGCATTATAATAGAAAGTGTACATCACTTAAAGTATCATGGACTTTCCTAGAAAACGTTTTGACATGACATTAAAATAATCAAATTATTAAATAAGCTGCTTCAGTTTCAGAATCAGAAACAGGTTTATTACCAGGTGGTTTTACACGTACGAGGAATTTGAAAAATAAGAATTAAAAACACAGGTTGAGAAATAGTAATAATTAAAAATATAGTAAAATATAACAGTACTTTGCAATGAAATGGAATAGAAGGAATAAAATATGGAATACAAATCAGCAGTCCTGGTTCAACGTCATATGTCCATGGTTTATTTGGAAACATTTCTATTACTGGAGTTTTATTACAATTTTATATAATATGTATATATAATATTTTCCTCCATTTCTCTTCCGCGGCTCAGTAGTAATTCTCAGGATTTATCTTCTGCGATTCAGCTTCAGTATTCATGTGTATGTCATTACCTCCATAGGCTGAAGTCTCTCCTTCCACTCCGACATGGCTTCCTCACCCCGGCCTCCCCTCACCCTTAATACCACCAGCTCCGACCTCCTTACCTCCCCCTTCTGCTTCTACTTCGTCTTTTACTCCTTGTGCGTCTCCTTCATTAACTCCTGCTTCTTATTCTTCTTCTTGTTCTTCTACCCCTTCATCTTCTACTTGCACTTTTTCTACTTCTTCTTTTACTTCATTTACAACCTCGCCTTTCACTTCTTCTTTATCTTCTACATCTTCTTTTACTCCTTTATCATCTTCTACTTCTTCGTGTACTCCTTCGTCCTCTGTGTCCCGGTCACAACAGCAGGATGGTAACACCGTCCCTCCGTCTCCCCCTGTCTCCCCTCGGCCCCCATCCCTTCCTCGCCTTATGACATCGCCAGTACCCTCAGTATCTCCATCTCCGCCTGTCTCACCCCCTCCCTCCCGCTCCTCTCACCCCTCTCCAAACGTTTCCTCACAGCGCCCCGTCCCTCACCCCTCAAGCTCTCCCTGTCCGTCCCATCCCGTCACATCCTGCCCCGACACAGAGTCACCTGTCCCCCCCCCCACTCCCTTTAAACCAGCCTCTCCCCCCCTCACCACTCCACGCTCTCCCCACCCAGGACGTATGTCTCCTATGGTAAAGGTAACGCTGGAATGTCAAGATGGTGGCCTTGATTTAGATCTCGTTTGTGGTGCAAAGGACTATGGGAAGAACTCTTCTGATAATACTATATCTAACATTTGAGTTGTTGATGTTAATGAAGACGGTTGTTGACTATGACTGTGGTTGAAGTGAGCAGTCAACTAATCAATGGACTGCAAATAATGGACATACTTAAAATCTGATTCATCGTTTATTGTGGGGAAAATGCTTTTCTCTGTTTTATATCATTTTAAATTGAACTACTCTAGGTTAGTGTTACAACAATACAATCTGGTCAATTGTGATTGTGCATTTTCCTAACTAAACGATTAATCAAAATGAGTCAACAGATTAACAGATATGGAAAATATGTTGTAGCTGAAACTACTTTGCAGTTTGTACACTAACACTGTGTCATGTTAGTGCTATGGTGATGATTCATGGACAGCAGACTACATGCTCGTGTTGGTTGTACTGTCGTGTGCTCAGGAGGATTTTAGTTGGCATCGGCATGTCGATGGATGATGTTTCACAGCATGCCGTTAGCCTTTGTGCGTGTGTGTTCAGCTCATAGTGAAGGCTGCTCAGTCCTTTTACTGTTGAAGATTATCGGTGTGATGCCTCTGGTCTTTCTGCCTGTTAAGCAGGACGCAGTTCTTGGTGGTAAACCTCCTCGTAGCCCCATCTTGTCCCGGAGATCCTATCTGTCCTCCATTAGAGGTCGAAGGGTAGGGGGGCATGTCTTCATTCAACCATGCTCTTACTGTTCCCATTTGCAGGAAGGAAATCGTTGTATTTCTGACTATCACCGCATGTATTAAAACGTACAATAAAGTATGCTGTTTTTTTAAACAGTCTAAATTGAGATATTGATTTATGTTTGATGTGAGTGCTCGATTGGTTTGTCTATTCAGGTTCTTTTTCAAAGGATTTGGTAACACCTAAATGATGTCTTATTTATTATAATCGACAGCATTACAGACCAGTATCTCAGTTTATCCTCTCAGCCGAACAAGAACTTTACCATTGCCAAATGTTGACTTCCTGTCTGTCTGTTTCTGTCTTCCTCACAGCGATTAGTACAGGACGCACTGCATGGTGGAGGAGACCCGTAAGTTATCATTCTTATTACACCACCGCTGTTACCCAAACTAAAATTATGTTTTAATCTTTACTGAAGGCTTAGCAAGTTATACAATATGTGCACAGTAGTTGTAATTTAAAGATCTTGTTGAACCCTTTAATCAGGTCAAGGTTATTAGACAGTCAGATAGAGAAGAACACACTGATCATATTACGCATAACAGGGAAAATACTGTAGTATCTGCAGCATATCATGGGTGTCATTTCACTGTTCCTTTTTAAAACGCAGGTACCAGGCCGTGTACAACTACATGCCTCGCAACGAGGATGAGCTGGAGCTGAAGGAGGGGGACGTTGTAGACGTGATGGAGAAATGTGATGATGGCTGGTTTGTTGGTAAGAGGAGTCTTGTTGTTGTTTTGATTGTAATTTACATATTTACTTATTATAGTTATACATGTTGTATGCGTGTTTCTTGGTGCCTATATTGCATGTTTTTTGTTGTTTTTCAGCTTGTGGTTCTTTACTTAATACTTAAGAAAATAATAAATTATAAATGAAGGCTCTACCTCAATAGTTTTTGCATCAAAATCAAGTATGCATGATACCAAATACACATTGTAAATATCAACCAAAGGAGGATAGCAATGTGATACCACCACCTATTTATATATTTAACATGACTGTTGGGGAAAGTCAATCCTGCACAGCTGAGCGAACTGATTCGTTAAGGATATCCTTTGCCCACTAAAGAGGTGTTCATGTGATTCAGTTTCCCTCCAGACTGCAGAGCTGAATTGATGTTAGTGGCAGCTACTGCCAGACTTCTCATTGTATTGCTCTTTGTGTATAAAGGGACCTCGCGAAGGAGCAAGTTGTTTGGAACCTTCCCAGGAAACTACGTGAAGCAGCTATAATGATGATTCCAGACTCCGCCCCTTCCTGTGACACTTCAGCGCCCTCAGCACAGCACCCGCAGGACACCACCTCCCAACACCGGCCCCTCCGCGTGTACGCGTGGCTCGTCAGCTGCACACAGACAGAACATTTAGCTCTAACTAGCCATGTTTAATGGAAAACTTCTATAAAATAATATTGTTTTTTTTATCTTATCTTTTTATCCTTATTTTTCTATGATGGAGAACCCAAACTTTTTGCTCCAGTCAGTGACCTTTAACTTTTGATGGAAAGATATCAAAGGAACTTTGCAAACAGTCATTGAAAGGAAACGGCACCGCGTGATGCTTCTGTAAGATCACCACACACCACCTTTTTTTATTTTTCTGCAGTATGTCAAACCTAAAAACACTCGTTACATTTCACTTCAGTGTTCATTTACAAATACCCCCAAAGACATTCAGTGCATTGTGTTGTATAAACAGTATTCTGTCGACAGGTCTGTTGTATACGAACTGTGTTGAAGGGATTGCAGCCAGTGTTTCAGGTAAAAGGATGTTACTCTCCACACTGACATGTGGGAAAGTGTGCATGTTAGGCATCGCCCAATGTAATGATTGGTTGATAAGAATTTAGGAATATGAGAGACTATCAATATTAAGCAATCATTTCAAAATCTGCGAAAATATCATTGGCTCTGTTGCACATGCTGTCTAAACCTAATACATTAGATTACAAGTATAACATTAGGAAACACGAAAAATATTTTCGACTTCTTCACACTAGGATTAATGCACTTTAAGGACATTTTAACACCATTTTGTGTTTGTTTTATCTAAAGTTTCACTTCAGAATTCCCACACTACACTTTAATATGTGTATTGGGCCTCGGGCTGGATTGGACATGTTTTGAAAAGTGTATGCAAAAAGGTTACCAACGTTTTAGGTATTATATTTATTAGAGGGTAATTGTTGGTCAAAATGTGTATTAACACAATTTTAGAAAGGATGGAACAACATGATTTTCTAACAAATGTCAACAGCAGGAAACCCTCATTTGAAGGCTTGGTATTTTCTTGTAAGGTATCTGCCAGGATAGGTGCTGAGTTACAAGTAACACAAAAGTTCATGGGCTATAATCATGCCAGGTGTAATGATGTTTTATGTTGAATTATTTAAGTCAGATGAAGGATGAGATAGCATTTTATCAAAGACTTCAGTCATGTTACTGCAGTTTTGTTTTTTAACCCTGTTGTAAGAGTGAATGAGTCACTACTTATTTAATATATCGGAGGTTTCGATCTTAGCTTGTCATGCTCAGTGAATGTGTTTATTCTCATGTTACGTGTCGCATATAGGATGAACACTGACAACAAAACAATTGTTAAAGCACCTTAAAATATTATTTTATTTTATCATTCATTGTCCTTCACGTCACCCCCTGTCATCCACTGTTTCAGCTGGTGTGAGAACACTGTGTGTGTGAGTGTGTGTGTCTGTGGTATTTTTGTAAGCCTTTTGTATGAGAGCTGTAAAATGGCCAACATCCACTTGCTTTATAAAGTCAGCTTTTTTCTCACCCACCATCATATTTGGTTTCTTCTTCTTCTTTCTTCACATTATTCATCAGTGGTGCTAATTTACGATTTGTATTATTGTAGCTCGGCATGTAGGCCTTTTTCTCTCCAGTTATTTGTTGCAGCAGTGACGTATTTAAACTGAAGTTACTGTAGTTAGTGAGCAGAGTTGGGGATTGCTGCCTTACGTCCAACTCACTAATTTAATAGCCATGTATACGTAAACCTCTTCCCATGATGCAAAAAATTCATTTATGCATATGTAGTCTAGAAAACATCAGGAAGTGTGCACAGAATGAAACTACAGTGTTGAAACATACAGTAAACCTCTAGTCTGCTTTGATACAACACAGGATCACATTTGGACTAAAGACATGAATTTGAAAATGTTTATACATGTAATGAAATTGTCAATCTGATATGTTATTCATGTTAATATCAAATACAATGCACACTCTTGGACCTAAGTATTTCTACAATATCTTAGCATATGTTGGATCGTTTTTTGGGGCTGTATTGCTAATAAAATCCAGCTGGTAGATGAACACTTTCCAATGATCTTTTCCGTTCAGCTTGACAGTAAAGACAACTTTGTTTTTGTTGATGACTGAAAAGAAAATCTCATTACTGATGGTTAAAGGTATGTTGCAGAGTTTTTCACCACTTTTTGTATTCCAATCAAAGAGGTGAGGGGATGAGTGTCTATATCCTCTTTTGTTCACGCAATTCCAACTATGGACAATTGGTGGTGGTGGTGTTGATCAGTAGGTGGCAGCAATGTGCCAATTAAAGGGAAGAAACATTGAGAGAAAAGCTTTGTAAACACACAATTTTGGTGGGAAATGTTGAGTATAAATCCGTGAAAATACATTTAAAACTCTACAGGGTACACAGGTTATCTTTATAAAAAATAATGCTTGCAGATCTCCCGTGCTGTAAAGGCTGGTGATGCATTTAGTGTCTACAAATTGGATGAAAAGACCAAAAGCAGCAGTAATTGGCCAATCTGAATTCAACACTCACAACACAACACACTGTTGAAGACACATCTTTCCTCATGACACGGCTAAGTGAAAAATTGTTTATTTTTTCAAGTGTTACAAATGTTCTAAACTGCTGACTTTGTAGTTTTTAGCAGGAGTAATGGTCAATGTGTTGGGGGCTATTTTGAGCTATGAATTAATACACTAGGCATCCAGTAAGCACTTATGGCAGCAGGAAAGTGCTACAAGAATGTATGTCCATGGTCATTGTTGGTTAGATGTGTTTGTTAATTGGAACTGAAAAATATTTTAAATTATTTTGACCAAAAAATAAAACAGTACATAGGTGAATTTTAATGTACATGTCTCTTTAATTGGTTTTGCAATTAAAGCATATAAGGGACGGTACATATTGCTTATAGGCCCTGTATATAGGATGTATGATATATATACACTGAACAAAAATATAAATGCAACACTTTTTTTCATGAGATGAACTCAAAGATCTAAAACATTTTCTATATACACAAAATAACCATTTCTCTCAAATATTGTTCACAAATCTGAAAAAAATCTGTGATAGTGAGCACTTCTCCTTTGCCCGAGATAATCCATCCCACCTCACAGGTGTGGCATATCAAGATGCTGATTAGACAGCATGATTATTGCACAGGTGTGCCTTAGGCTGGCCACAATAAAAGGCCACTCTGAAACGTGCAGTTTTGCTTTATTGGGAGGGGTCTGGGGGGGGTCCATTTGCCTCATGCAGTGCAACACATCTCCTTCGCATAGAGTTGATCAGGTTGTTGATTGTGGCCTGTGGAATGTTGGTCCACTCCTCTTCAATGGCTGTGCGAAGTTGCTGGATATTGGCAGGAACTGGAACACGCTGTCGTATACGCCGATCCAGAGCATCCCAAACATGCTCAATGGGTGACATGTCCGGTGAGTATGCTGGCCATGCAAGAACTGGGATGTTTTCAGCCTCCAGGAATTGTGTACAGATCCTTTGCAACATGGGGCCGTGCATTATCATGCTGCAACATGAGGTGATGGTCATGGATGAATCGAATGGCACAACAATGTGCCTCAGGATCTCGTCACGGTATCTCTGTGCATTCACAATGCCATCAATAAAATGCACCTGTGTTCGTCGTCCATAACATACGCCTGCCCATACCATAACCCCACCACCACCATGGGCCACTCGATTCACAACATTGATATCAGAAAACCGCTCACCCACACGACGCCATACACGCTGTCTGCCATCTGCCCTGAACAGTGAAAACCGGGATTCATCCGTGAAGAGAACACCTCTCCAACGTGCCAGACGCCATCGAATGTGAGCATTTGCCCACTCAAGTCGGTTACGACGACGAACCGGAGTCAGGTCGAGACCCCGATGAGGACGACGAGCATGCAGATGAGCTTCCCTGAGACGGTTTCTGACAGTTTGTGCAGAAATTCTTTGGTTATGCAAACCGATTGTTGCAGCAGCTGTCCGAGTGGCTGGTCTCAGACGATCTTGGAGGTAAACATGCTGGATGTGGAGGTCCTGGGCTGGTGTGGTTACACGTGGTCTGCGGTTGTGAGGCCGGTTGGATGTACTGCCAAATTCTCTGAAACGCCTTTGGAGACGGCTTATGGTAGAGAAATGAACATTCAATTCACGGGCAACTGCTCTGGTGGACATTCCTGCTGTCAGCATGCCAATTGCACGCTCCCTCAAAACGTGCGACATCTGTGGCATTGTGCTGTGTGATAAAACTGCACGTTTTAGAGTGGCCTTTTATTGTGGCCAGCCTAAGGCACACCTGTGCAATAATCATGCTGTCTAATCAGCATCTTGATATGCCACACCTGTGAGGTGGGATGGATTATCTCGGCAAAGGAGAAGTGCTCACTATCACAGATTTTCAGATTTGTGAACAATATTTGAGATAAATGGTTATTTTGTGTATCTAGAAAATGTTTTAGATCTTTGAGTTCATCTCATGAAAAATGGGAGCAAAAACAAAAGTGTTGCATTTATATTTTTATTCAGTGTATGCTTACATGTGTTTGCTGCAGTCATAAATTACAGTACTGGAAGAGAGATTATATGAACAATCTACTACACCAAGATTAATGTTGTGCTGTGAATCTTCATCTGCCAAACTGTTACTGGCAAACATTTCCATGATGTAAAAAAATCTGAGCAAAAATATATCAGTGCTGACGGTTTAATAAGCTTCACTCAATTTGTTCTCTCTTAGCCAAAAACAGTCTTGGGTGTTTTTATCATTTTGAATGTAATGCAGATATTACAGGCATGCGGAGGAAAATGAAAAAATATCCTCAACTGGCTGGAACAAAACACTGTGATAATAAACAAAGAGCACAGTAAATAAAGAGTTTGAAGGCTAGAGGAAAGCTTTTGAGAGATGAAAAATAATTAACCGACAAAACAGACTCAGTTTCTGGTAAAAACACAGAAAAGTAGAGACGATGTGTTGAAACTGGATTGTTGACAAGCTCAGGGGTGAGAGTCCTGGGTCCCATCCAGATCAATAGTGGCTGGAATGTGCCTGCGGGACCTCCATGGCCTCAGAGAGGAGCTGCGCCTCCAGACCAAATAAGGACAGGAGCAGAAAGACCCGTCAACCAGAGCGAGAGGAGGCAAGCCAGGCTGAAAGCTGCCCAGGGATGAGAAGCCATGAGGGGGGGGGGCTGGTTAACATCCTCGCTCTGATTACAAGTGTCCATGTAGGTACTTGCACACTGTCAGACAAAACTGGATTTGTTCAGGACAATTGAAGCTGTGGTAATAAATAGTCAAAAGATTGTTTTCTGTTATTAAGAAAGAGAAGTATTCTGAGAGAAACTAAGAAAAAGTGCTTAACAGATATTGGAAAACTGGCAAGCAAGTGCTGCTAGAACAGTCTGGGAGCCAGTTTCCAAAATCTGACCAATGACTTCACTCCTGGGGTGGGGTCTGTCCATTCTCCTCCCCTTGCACCCACCCACATGGGTCAAAGTCTCCATCACTTTGATATTCCTTCCCTCTTTAACTTTGTATCCTGCAGTGTGCTGCTGTTATCTAACAGCAGGGAGACATTAAAGGGTCATGCCACTCAATGTCGTGCTGGACGGTCCAGCCCCCTGGGGGTTTCGCCTGACCGGAGGAAAGGACTTCAACCAGCCCCTGACCATCTCCAGGGTGAGTGACGCATAGGATGTCTTTATTATAACAACAGAAGAAGAAAAAAATAAGGTTTTAAAAAGTTTGGTTGATCATTTGAAAAGTCTACTGTTAGGTTTTTAATGTAGTCAACTAAATGCATAAATTATCATATCATTCAATGTGCTTTAATCCATTGGTCCAGTCTAGAGGGGTCAGTGTTGTGTTTGATTCAATGTTTTCAGGAGGGTTTGTTCGACAAAGTGTCTGGAATAGTTTGGGGACTTGCACCTGTGCCACAGTAAATGCAACAGGCTTAGATACAAATAGCAGCTTACATTATACTCTGACATATGCACACGCACACACACACACGCACGCACACGCATGCACACACACACACACTTTCAAGCTGGAGAATTTGGGAGAGTGTGTGTTCATACATTCTGACCAATAAAAATATAACATAAATGAATAATCCTCCAGATATAGAATCCACTTCATATGTTTTTGAAAGAAAACTTGATTTCCTCCGCAGGAAGGAAATCAAGTGTTATTCTGTGTGGACACACACAGAATAACACACTTATCAGTGATTGAAAAAGGAGAGCTCAGTCTCATTGTAAAGGCATCAATACTACATGTCTAGTATAACACTGCAGCTGTTCAAATGCTAGTAAACAACGTCACCACGCAGCATCACAAAGCTTGTCATTATTGTAGACTGACGGCACAGGCAGGGTTTGGAGATGACGTGTTAAACTAAACATAACCATTATTCACTGGAACAAAACTCACTGTAACCAAAAATGACAAACCCAATGATTTATGAGACATATGCTTGAATGAACACAAACTGTTTTGCAGTTCTTGGCTGCTATTTCAGAATGGGGAATTATAGAATTCATCTTCATCTTTTAATGAAAATGAGGATTTCCTGAAGCTAGTATGGTATTTCCTGTTTATAAAAAGTTCTAACAAACAACTGAATCACATGAACAAAGGGACGTCTACTGAGTAAAATACATTAATTCTCAATTTGTTTGCGAGTTGGATGACAAGATCATTATCACTCTCATGTACGTAGCCTACTGTGAACACGTAGCTGGGGCTAGCAGATGGTTAGCCTAGTTTAGCAAACAGACTGAAAGCAAGACGAGAAGACTAGCCTGGTTGTGCTAATGTAACAAAATCCCTTCTCTAGCACCTCTAGAGCTCAATTAATTACACTAACTAACTAAAGTAAAGACGATAGAGGGAGTTAATAAAGAATAAGGAAAAACAGTCAGCACAAAGATATAACATACTGAGTATGAACAGTGTCTTAATCAGCGGATTGTGTGCTGTATGTCCCACAGGATTAGATGTGAGGAGACCCTGTAATCCCCCTCTCCGGGTTATGTGCGTCTATATTTAGGGGAAGACCTCAGAACCACTGACTATAAGCAAAGTTAGGTCACTCAACCACTGGCTCTGTCCAATAACCCCACACACCTGTTGTGTTAGCGGACATTGTGGTGAGAGAAGGGATGGATGGGAAACGAGAGGGGGAGGATTCTGGGAAGTTTAACACAAAGGTCAATGTGTTAAGATGTACTCGTTAGGGGGAAGTTTAGAAAAGAAAGTGAATATATACCCCTTGAAAACATCTTACTAACTATGTATGTTTACCATCTATAAGAACATTTTGTCAATTGTGTTTTTTTTTAATTGTGCTACAGTAAACTCTCAGCCTTTATTTAACACAAGCGTCTCACTTCACTGCCATTTTTGGTCAGGAACATCTTCCTCTTTATGACCCGTCTGTGTTCCCAGCTGGTCAGGGAAAGTAAACACAAGTGATGATAATCATGTTTTTTCTTCAGCAGACAGCAGCCTTAAAGGGGCATGATGCCAAATGTACACATCAAGATCAGTTTACTTGATCTTCATGTCCTGGGAAGTACTTCTGAGTCTGTGGAAACTTGTCTTCTGTGGCTCTTGAGGAACATGTTCATGTCGTCAGGGTTTTTAGCTTGAGCTTAGAAACAGTAAGACTGCTTTAAAAAAATGTCCCAGTTAGGTAAACAGTCTTTTCAAATTGAGTTGCATTATGGGAGCCACGATGAACATTGTTGGAGCTTGACATGGACTCAGTGTTATCAGTCTGTTGCAAGTTTCCTAACTTTAATCTCTTTACTAACTATTTTAGTTTGCCACTTAGGAGGAGCGCAACAAGCTGCTCTTAGCAAATTGTTGTCTATCAACACACCCATTAAATATGGAGAACCATTAGCATTCATTGATGTCCCTCGTGGCAGTCAACAAATGAGTCCAATCTTCTTTTAGCTGTTTGAGTTTCCAGCAACTCCTGGGGGAAATATTTGTCTCTTTGGCAGCTGAATGCTAAAACATATTCACCAGCTAGTTGCTGAAACTTGTCTGGCTGAGAGTCGGGTGACAATTCTTTGTTGGTTTGTCACTAAGAGGGTCCTCTTTTAAATTGACACTTAGTCATTTGATCTTTTGTTTGGTAAGTGTAGCTTCAGGTATAATAGGATTAACTAACATTGGATTCTGCCGGATTGGATTCCCCAGTGCTGTACTTGTTGGAAAGCTTTATCTTTCCTTTTGATTCGTTGCTTACTTATATTTGTTTACATTGTGTATAGTATGTACATAAATATATTACACAAAACTATTAATAAGATTAAGTATTCAACGAATGAAGTCCCAGGAAGCAACATAGCAATTGAGTGTTTGGCTTTATCTTGTTCCCTTGTTCAGTTTTGGGGATGTTCATACAAGAGGGAAGAATACACAGTAGATAAACGGATGTCATGAAAAAAGAGCCAGAATGGAAAAAGAAAATGGTGGCTGTAACTTAAACAAAGACAAATGTTTGATATGAAAACTGAGCTGCACGGACATGAAAGAATCCAATAAAAAGCATAGTTGTGCACAGGTTCATGTATCAGAACTCAGAGCAGTAAAACATACAGTCGGACAGCAGCACTGCAACAAATGCTGCACTCTAAATGACTGCTCCCTCTTTGGCAGCATGAGACATCCCCTCAGCGCTTTCATCCACAGTTATTTATAGGCGGATGACCTAATTCAAGTTTCAATATAACGTCCCAGCGAGTTTCCTATGCCCAGTAATGCAATATGGATGAACATAGGTCATGGCCCGTGTAGTGTACAAGTGGGAATGCTCGGCTGGGTTTGAAGCTGCCTCCTTCGATATTTTTTCCATGACCCTGATGCCTCTCCGGGAGATCTTATTCATCTTGATCACTTCCTGGCCAGCAGAATACATATTCCATCTGGGTGCTGTCACTTGTTGGGAAGCAGCGCAGCGTTTACTTTATCTCCTTGACAAGGGACGGGCAGTTTACATGCATGCATACCAACCAGGGCAATCTGCAGCTCAGAGATTAGTTAGTGCATGTGGTGAAGAATATGGAGATTTAGGTCATGGATGGTATGACTCGTCTCTGTTATGAGTTGAATAGTTTGGCTTCTTAGGGTCTGTGTGTTGTGTTTCACACAAGTATTTAGGCTAGGTGAAACTCTGAAAGTAGGAAAATAAAATAATTTAAAGCTGTGATCCCGGCAGGGGAACAAGAAGAAGGGGCCTTGCATTTGAGTTGTGTATTGAGAGATGAAGTGCTAGTGATGGAGAACAGACCTAAACTTTTCACCAGGCTGCCTCACCTGGACTGCTGGAAAAGGATTTAGAGTGAAATACCTTTTGGTTTTCTGGCTGACTGAGTAAAAACACATTGCTGTGGGATTTATTATCATTTTGACAAGTTATAAGAACTCTTTCTTTTATTCATTTGTATACCTGCAGTACAGAACCATTTATACATTGACAAAGAAAAAACGGAAAGGGAGAGTAATTACATTTGTTTAAACCACTCTGTCATGCAATTTAAGTGCATAGTCTACATTGTTCTATGTCAAATAATTAAATAGTGACCAAAAGACAGCTAAACACATGTTCGGGTATTTTCTGGTAACTAACATAAGTTTCACAAAACCTGAATAAATGCTGCAAAGTTACAGCAATGTTTGTGTTTGGAGTAACCCAGCAACATCTCAGCCTCAATGGGAATACCAAGACACCTTATTGCTATTTGTAATTATTAAAATCGTAAGATATAAACCTTATGAGATTTTTTGTTAATTAAAAAAATGCATGCCAGTTTCAAACAAACAGACAATCACTTATAATGTCTTTCGATAAGGTGGAGGCATGGGTCGTACATATAGCCTAAACAAAGACGAATTAAAACATATATATATATATATACACAAATATATAGTACAAAGCATACAGTTTGAAAAACTAAACTATTTATTTATTTTCCTTTACTAATATAATTAATCAGGGTTTTCCTCTATTTCTGACCCTTTATTTCTCACAACCCCATCAATTACAGATGTCAGGTGTATTTTAGCAAGGCTTTTATGTTTGTGGTTGAAACTCTAATTTCACTATTTCTAAAATGTTTGTGCATTAATGTTTGGGTTTATGAGTGTATTTACTTTTGAAGTTATTAAACTGATCAAGAGAACGGGATCCTCTGTTCTCTTCATTCTTCTTTAATTGAAATCATCGGTTCCCCTGCTTTCTCAATGTCCAAGTTATTTAGTTAGCAAAAGAATCAAAACAAAGTGTCTTTATTCCTGTTTTTATTCCTTCTTCTACACACTTCCAGATCACTCCCGGCAGTAAGGCAGCCATAGCCAACTTGTGCGCCGGTGATGTCATCTCGGCCATCGAGGGAGTCCCGGCCGCAGACATGCTGCACTGTGAGGCGCAGAACAAGATCAAAGAGTCCTCCCATCAGCTCAGTCTCACTGTTGAAAGGTTATACGCAGAGACGAAATGCATGCTCATAAACAGATGGCGGACACATTACAGGCAACACCTGCCCAGTATAATGAAATGTAATACATTAGCCATGCCATAATTTCTGCATTTGTGAAGCTGATATTATTACATTTAGCATCAGACAGCTGTTGATTGAACCCTAAATTAAGTTTTAAGGCTCCTCTGGTAGTTTTGTATTGGATTACATATTATACTGCTGTTGTTTTTACTGTGGCCAGTTTGTACATATTCATAAATACCACTGATACTGGATAGCACTGGTTCCCAACCCTTTTGACATGTATCCCGTTAAAACTAAGTAGTTTCTATTTGCACTAGTCTACGGTTCATTTTTTAACCATGTTGTTACCTATTTTGATGTATATACGTTATATCGTTTTCTGTTTTGATCCCATCGTGTGCGTGCCTGATCTTCATATTACTGTGTACAGTTAGTGAATAAATGTGCATTCTCCACTGATTGGTACTAACAGGAAATGAACAAGATGTGTGCCGATGTCGGTCATACTGCTGTTATAGAAAACTTGTGTTTTGATTTCTTGAGCTTTTCCTACACCATCTGAATTTAGTCTCCAGGTGTGATCGCATTACTTTTATTTTATAGGTAACTTTATAGGGGCTATAGTTGCCAACAGAACATTTTAAAAAACAGGTGAATTTGGTATGGCACTCAAACACCTCTTCAAAATGTAAAAATAAGTCCACTGGTCTGACACGAGAAGGCCGACCTGTAAGCAGATGTTTAAACCACAGTTCTGATGTTTTATTATTGGTAGGGATTATAGACGACTCGCACACACTCAAAAAAGACTCTTTCAACAGTCAGTTCATCGGTCATGTCAGGGTCACTTTCTGACCAGGGTCTGTTTTAAACTTCCAGGAATGAATCAAGACTGTGGTCACCACGTGTTGTGGAGGACGGTCAAGCTCATCCATATAAAATGAACTTGGAAGCGGAGAAACAGGTTTGAAAGATAGTTTAAAAAGGATTTAACAAGATGATATTAGCCATTTCGCTTCACATCATTACCTCCTTATTGACTTGATTGTAACCTTGCACTCTATTCTTCCATACAGGAATTTAAACCTATTGGCGTTGCTCACAACCGGAAAGCTCAGCCGTTTGTGGCGGCTGCGAACATCGATGACACGCATCAGGTGGTCAGCTCAGCCTACAACACCCCCATCGGCCTCTACTCCTCAGGCAACATCGCGGATGCCATGGAGGGTCAGATCCGTGGCCTGGCTGTACCAAAGCCTACAAGGTGATCATTTTAGGCTTGCCCTAACTCTAAGACTTACTAACAAACCATCATTTGTCATCATCCTAGCTTCTTGCATTGCTCACATGTAAAAATATTTGTAGTTTAGCATGATACAGTAGTTGACATTTGGGCTTCAAGCAAATATTAATTTGTTATAATTGATTTGTTTCCATTCATCGATTTGGCATTTTTTATTAATAAAGGAATAACTAATAACTTCACCTTATTAAAAATAATTTGGGACAAAATGGTGCTCCTCCTCCTTCTGCACCTAATGGCATATGCAAGATTCAATTGCGCTCCAATCAATATGTCAAAGTAGGCGGCAATGATCAAATATTAATTAAGATCACTGTAACAACAGCATTAACTAAAGGTTAGCTTTGATGACAAAATGTGAGCCAAGTTAAAAATATGTTATCAACTAACTGATTGTTTTTCTAATCGTCAACAAAAAGGACTCGTTGGAATATGAGATCTTGTATTTTGATTGGACCTTCGTAAAAAAGGATAACAGTAATAAATAAATAACTTATACTCTGGCAAAATGTTTATCCCAATCAACGTTGATGATCTAAACACAGCAGGGTCAATTTCCATCCATCTTGTTGTCTGGTATGTAATGATCATTACAGCCTCCCGGGGATACTGATAACAATTAATTTAGTTCCTTTCATGAATCCCTTCTGCTTCTTCTCCACTGTAATTTGATTATTTTGCTGTTATAACATTTACTAAAGTCTGCTTTCCCTTTACAATACTCTCCTGAATCACCCAGTCACTCCGTTTGTTTGACGATATCAGTGGAGAGGTTTAATTCAGCCACAGATGTGCTACAGTACGTTAGCGTTCAGCCTTCCCCTCATGTGGATTTCATTAGGCTACCTGATGTATGGTGTGTCACACTGAGGATAAATGGCCGCAGCCTACAGGAATGAATCCGTCCATGGAGTAACCACAAACTCTGAATAAGTCATTAATCACATCAAACCTAAGTCATGTCAGCGTATGGAACATAGACCGGCTCTTCATCACTTCTGGGCTACTTTACATGGAAAAGTAGAGATGTATTTCCTTGTAATGTATCATAACGACTACTACCAGCCGACTAGAGAGAATGATTATGGTAGAACATGATTATGGAGAGATTATATAACAGTATGAAAAAGAGCATGTTGTCCATTCAGCATGCTGAAGCTAAAATCTTCATTTTTACTCAATGTGTTCCAGATCATGAGTTCTCTTTCTCGTCTCACATTTAGCACCTTACTCATTTTTCTCCTTTTAAGGTTGACTCATGTTGCAGCTCTGTAATCTACAGCTGGTTCCTCTCACCAGGTCTCCCTCTACACAAGTGTATAAAACCTCAGAGCAATGCGTTATTTCTACCATGTATAAATCACATCAGCTTAGGGTGGTCTGGAGAAATAAATGTTGTACTTTACAAAAGTAATTTGGCCTCCGATAGAAAAAAGCAGCGCTGTGTAATACAGTATCAGTGTTGGCCTGGAATTAAATACATTTACTAAAGTACATGAGTATTTCAAATGTGTGCAACGTAATACTACTCTCAGAGGAGTAAAGCTTTCTGAGTAGAGTAAAAAGTACATTTACTCTAATTACTAGTTATTTTATTATATTTAAGGTCAGTTTTTTTCAGGAATAATTACATTTATAGAGACAGTTCTTATAAGACAGCGATGCAAACATATGATTATCTTATACAAGAGGATGCATTGCTGTAACTTAAATTAACCTACAGTATATAAAAGATTTAGATACACATCAATGCTGCAGTATTATTGAGCCGGAAACAATACTTGGAAAGAAATACTTACTTTTACTCAACCAAGGTTTTAAATGCAGGGCTTTTATGCATTATTTAGTGTGATATTAGTATATTTTCTTAATTAAAGGATCTGAATAGTTTTTCCTGTGCATTGGTGTCAATATCCTGACCTGGTATTGAAACTGTGTGTGTGTGTGTGTGTGTGTGTGTGTGTGTGTGTGTGTGTGTGTGTGTGTGTGTGTGTGTGTGTGTGTGTGTGTGTGTGTGTGTGTGTGTGTGTGTGTGTGTGTGTGTGTGTGTGTGTGTGTGTGTGTGTGTGTGTGTGTGTGTGTGTGTGTGTGTGTGTGTGTGTGTGTGTGTGTGTGTGTGTGTGTGTGTGTGTGTGTGTGTGTGTGTGTGTGTGTGTGTGTGTGTGTGGTGTGTGTGTGTGTGTGTGTGTGTGTGTGTGTGTGTGTGTGTGTGTGTGTGTGTGTGTGTGTGTGTGTGTGTGTGTGTGTGTGTGTGTGTGTGTGTGTGTGTGTGTGTGTGTGTGTGTGTGTGTGTGTGTGGCTCAGCCCCAGGACTTTAACCAGTATCGAGGATTCTGATGTGTACCAGATGTTGCAGAAAGACCAGGAGGAGCCCCAGGAGCCTCGGCAGTCCGGCTCCTTCAAAGCCCTGCAGGACTTTGTAGACAGTGATGGTGAGCTCTGCTTCTTTACAACACGATTACCTCCATAACACACAGGAATTAAAAGATTACTGGTACAGAGAAATATTTCTTTGTTCAATAAAAGCCGAACAGATGCAATGCCAAACTCTACAAAAACATAGATGTATTAAATTATTATTTTAAAATCAGCTTTGAAATATGAGTAATTGTGTTTTGCATAAATGTTTTTTCTGTGATCTTCTCTAACTGATTTTAAGTTAGTAATGTTTGATTAATTTATTTGCTGTTATTGTAATACTAATTTTGGTCACAAGAGGCTGAAGTGCTCCACTACCTTTGGTTCTGAATAGGACAAAGAGCATTCAAGTTATGTAACGTTACTTTAATTTAACACGGCACATTTCTACACACACCAGATTTTTCAAATGTACCTTTCAGGGCTTACGGACTGTTGAATAATTGGTACTAATGCAATCATGTATTCATTTGATATTTTTTGTTTGTTTTAGAAATACAATTGTTTCCATATTGAACAAACAACCCTCCAACCAACTCCTACGTTAAAGCTGAACAATTACTCCAGTCAATTCTAATCATTGGTCTACAATAAACACATGTAGATACATTAGTTTATTTTCTAACATATAGCCCCTTTATGAATCACTGGTCTCATAACATACACAACATGTATAATGCCACCTATGTGTTCCCCTTATTCAAGTACATCATTAGCACTCTCTCTAGTGTTTTGTTTGTATTTATGTGCTACGGTATTGTATGTAAGTGCAGGGTTGTTTCTCTCTCTCTTGTGGACAGGCACTCGTCCCATTGTTACCAGGACAGTGAAAGCCCCCTCAACCAAACCCACTACACCCACAGGAAACCTGCAGAAACTGCCCGTCTGCGACAAGTGTGGGAATGGGATTGTGTGAGTAAAAATAGAAAAAACTCATCTGTGATTCACATTCAGACGCTCCATGAATCATTCCAAAGGGTGGAGAAAAGTACAGAAAACAATGCAGTCCGCAACAACAACACCATTAACTGTAGCGTCTATAGAAAAGTATTTTGCATTTGTCTGAACATAATAAGGTAAGCATTACTGTATGAGCACTATGAATGCACAGAAAACAAACCTGTATATCTGAGACAGAAAAACCTACATCACATGTCATTATACAATATACTGTATTTATGTTTTACTGTGTTATTAAGTTTTTATTTAAATAGTTTGAAGGGTTTAGTATGTTTGACTAATACATGGTAAGTTACCCTATATTTATTTTCTTGAGACTATATTAAGGTGTTTTTAAATTAGTTTATTTTAATGCTAAATAAAGCGGTTGAAATTAAGTGATTCAGAAAACTGTATTTTAATAGACGGTTTAGTCTCTCTTCATCGGTGTGTTCTTATTTACCCCTTTAACACCACTATGTGTTGAATCTCTTCTTTTTTTTACCAAGGCATTGTTTAAATTGTTGTGTTATTTAGGTTTATTATTAGATTTAGGTTTATTTCAGTTAAAAAACAATGAGACTATTGCTTTTTAAATTGGTTTATTTGTTGCTTTCATGTCACTCATGTCATTGACCCCCAGTTGGGATCCATTAGGGAGGGTTTCTTTTTATAGCATGCAATATATTTACTTCACGTTTACTACTACAGTGAACACAAACACTATTCCTTGCTTTTGACATATCCATTTCTGTCTTTTATGCGAAGTGGGACGGTGGTGAAGGCACGGGACAAATATCGTCACCCTGGCTGCTTTGTGTGCTCCGACTGTGACGTCAACCTCAAACAGAAGGGCTATTTCTTCGTGGAGGGGGAGCTGTACTGTGAGACTCACGCTCGCTCCAGGATGAGACCACCAGAGGGACACGACCTCATCACAACCTTCCCCTCTGCATAGAACAAACCCCTGTAAAGACAGACACTCCTGTGTCCTGCATCTGTCCTTTGTGTTTATCTGCACTTGCTATCTGATATTGTCTGTGTGCAATAATATTTCATATATACAGTATACATTACGTTCACTTTACTTTCTGACGTAATAGTATTATGTTTTTTTCTGTGTAGGAATGTTTCACTGGTGATGGTTGAACAGCCTGGTTGTTTAATGCTCAGTATCAGTGACTACAGACACACGTTGATTTCTTTCTAATAAAGATTTCTACTCATACTGACTCAGATCTGTAGTCTTTGGATGAAAAGCACCACCTGTAGGAATTATAGCATTTCTGAAAAGTTAAGCCAAAGCCATTGTTTCTAATGGCCAACAGGGGTGACTCACTGGTTGCAAAAAGAAGTCAGATCCATTAGATCATATAGAAGTCTATGAATAAAATGCAACAACTAATCTTAACAATATAAAGCATATTACTGTAAGTTACTGTAAAGCACTTATATACTAATAAAGGACTGGCTTATCTAAAGCCAGTTGAGTAGCACTTGAAATATTTTTGCTCTATGAAACCTGATGTACTTATATGATTCTGTTTTCTTCACGTTTGTATTTTGTTGGTCGAACGCACTTATTGTAAGTCGCTTTGGATAAAAGCGTCAGCTTAATGTAATGTAATGTTTAGCTTGTTAACATGCTTGCTTATTAGCACTCAAATTAATCTAAAGGTCATGGGATGACCAATGCACCCGAGTACACTGTGTCCTCTCACAGTGTAGACTTTACACTGAATAAGAAGTGGATGTAGTCCCGGTGACGTCACCAATTGGTTTGTAGACTATGGATCTGAAGGTTATCGGTTTTCGAGTGTTGCAATGTTGTTTTAAAGAGAACAGAAAACAAACTGTGTTAGAGTTACAGGGACACTTGAGTAGGCTACACGGAGCCAATGTTGATGTTAGCTGTTGACATTTTTCTTTTAGAATCACTTGAAATTAAAAATTAACTTAAGGCGACCACAGCTGCTGTCTATGTAACTATTGATGTTTTTTAAAACATTTGAGGTCTGCGGGGGAAGAGTTTAATCATATTTTGGATAAAAGATTATGTTTTTGATAGTTCTTTCAAACACAAAAAGACACAGTCTAATCAACACAAAAAGCTAAGTCAGTTACCTTCGGCAGATATGATTTAAAACCACACAGGCTGAATGCCTTTATGTGGTTGGTTTAGAGTTGAACTGTTTTTGAGGACGCTGAGGGAGTGTACCATTTTTGATTGACATCCCTGACCCTAAATAGTGTGGTGACCTCATGTTGATCCAAGCAGAGCTGTGTGCATTCTCAGGTATAATTTGCCATAACAACTGAAAACACCTTTGTGGGTGTGCAGTACTTTAATGCCTCAACTCCAACCGGTTAGTGCTAGATCGTATACCTCCTGGGTTTTAGGCGGCGGAAGTGACGTAATCGTGAATGAGAAGCGAAAAGTCGGAAACTTTTGCAGTAACTGACAGCACTGGTAGTAAAAGTAGACACATTTAATTTAATTTTGCATGGGCTCTTCAAATCAAATCAAATCAAGTTTTATTTGTAGAGCACAATTAAAAACGATTTTGGTCGAGCCAAAGTGCTGTACATGTAATTTAAACACTTAAAAACACATTACATCACAATAAATCACAACAGATAAAAACAACACATGGAACAGTCAGGAGTCGTAACCCCACTCTAACTAGAAGGCCAGAGAGAAGTAGTGTGTCTTCAGTGTGGATTTAAAAGCCCCTAGGGTCTGGGCCGACCTCACATGGAGGGGAAGAGTGTGCCAGAGCCTGGGGCCAGCTGCTGCGAAGGCTCGGTGCCCTCGGGTTTTGAGCCTGGTCTTAGGCACTACCAGCAGCAGCTGGTCAGCAGATCTTAAAGCTCTGGCTGGGGTGTAGCGCTGGAGGAGTTCAGCTATATAGGCCGGAGCCAACCCATTTAGTGCTTTAAATACAAATAAAAGGATTTTAAAATCAATTCTGAACCGGACTGGAAGCCAGTGTAGTGAGGCCAGAATTGGGGTGATGTGGTCACGCTTTTTGTGGCCAGTCAGGAGACGTGCAGCTGCGTTTTGGACTAGCTGCAGGCGTTTAATTGATGCCTGGTCCATACCCACATACAGAGCGTTACAATAGTCCAGTCTTGAGGTCACAAAGGCATTAATAACCCTTTCCAGGTCTTTAAAAGATAAATACGACTTGGTTTTGGCCAATAGTCTTATTTTAAAAAAGCAGGATTTTACTACGGTGCTGACCTGCTTGTCGAATTTAAAAGTGCTATTAAAGGTCACTCCAAGGTTCAAGACAGAGGGGAGGATGTTTTTACTTAGGGAGCCCAGAATATCAACCGGAGAGGCCAGAGGTTGGGATCCAAAAAAGATTACCTCGGTCTTGCTCTCATTGAGGTTGAGGAAGTTTTTGCTCAGCCAGGATTTTAACTCTGTTAAGCAGTCCATCAACTGCTGTAGTGAGTTGACATTTGCTTTGAGAGGCATATAGATCTGTACATCGTCCGCGTAGCAGTGGAAGGGGATATTGTGTTTTGTGAGGATTGAACCTAGGGGCAGTATGTACAGTAAAAAGAGGATGGGGCCCAGAATTGAGCCTTGGGGGACCCCACAGGTAAGAGGGGCTTTGGCAGAGGAGAAGGCACCTAGCTGCACTAAAAAGCTACGGTCTGTCAGGTAAGACCTGAACCATGCAAGGGCAGAGCCTGTGATGCCTGCGGACTGTTCAAGCCGTGACAACAGGATGCTATGGTCTACAGTGTCAAAGGCAGTTGTCAGGTCTAACAGCACCAAGACAGCTGGGCTGCCTGAGTCGGCGGCTAGGAGCAGATCATTAAAAACTCTTAAAAGGGCTGTTTCAGTACTATGCATGAGTCTAAAGCCAGACTGAAACTTTTCATGGATGCCATGCGTGGTTAAGAAAGACTGCAGCTGGGCGTAGACTACTCGCTCCAGGGCTTTTGATAAAAAAGGTAGCTGGGAAATGGGCCTAAAATTTGCGAGAATGGAGATTTTTCTTTTTAAGTAGTGGCTTGACCACGGCATGTTTGAAGGCAGCTGGGACACATCCTGAGCTAAGAGAGGTGTTTATAAGTAATAAAATACTTGCTCCAACTGATTCGAAGACGTCTCTGAGAAGGCGAGAGGGAATGCTGTCTGAGGTGCAGTTTGTCGGCCGCAGGTGCATGACTACATCCGAGAGAGAAGAGAGGGATACAGGCTCAAAGTGGTCGAGGACAGCAGGGCACAGAAAGGGAGCAGAATCTGGGGTAGCACTCTGGAGTCCTGCAGGAATCCGGAGGACAGTGAACCGGAGTGAGAAGGAGCACACTCGTAAAAAATCTCCACCCTTTTTTTAAATAAACCTCGTACTGTGTGTGTGTCACTGTAATCCGAAATCAAACGCACTCAGTGACTTTCTGAGTGTTAAATCCCATCTGTGCTTTTCTTCTTGTGAGATGTCATTTTTTTTTGTATTATTAAATATTAGTAATAGCCTGCCGTCCTCCAAAGTTATGAATTCTCAAAATATTATATTTATGATATTTTTGTGGAAAAATGATGTATTCATGCTCGTCTCTTGTCCTGGGTGGCAGGTTACGTCCCTTCCGCCTAAAACCCAGAAGGTATACGATCTAGCACTAACCAACTCCAACCTGGCATGTCAACGTATTATTAATTAATGTATTCAGATATGTTTAGAACTAAGTAATGAACTGACTCATAATGACTGTCTGAAGGACACTAAACCACTGAACTAAAAAAGTGCCATCATTAGAGTTGATCCCCACCAGGTGTGTCTTTCTTGCTCCCAGACTCCCCTACAGTCAAAATGGAGGTGAAGATAATGAAAACTGGGATTTATTGTGCCAAACTAAAGTAGATCATGACATTTCTGGAATAGAATTGTTTTGCAGATGCTCCATTTCAAAATGAGACCAACGTTTTTACGCCACGACAAAGACAGAAGGTGGCCTTCAACAGACTACAAAACGTAAGGCTTGCTTCTGCTCGGGTCGATTGAATGGAAATGTCCACTAAAGCAGTTGTTGATACATTTTGGCCCCTATTGTTGTGGAAATAATTATCATAAGACGCCAATTAGTAACATACAAGACAAACCTTGATGTCTGTTTACCTTCTTTAAGGACACAGGCTGCTTAGCCAATAATGTTATTGTTCCCATTCTGTGACCGGTCAATACTGGGATACAGATGGTCTGTGTTGTGGGTACACTGGGACACTTCCTTCTCTGTATTTGTGGACTCCAAGGTAAAATCTTCGAGGTCATAAGTGTCCGAGGCAAGTAGCTCTGTGTTCCCACACTGTTTAGGCTATCTCCTCAAATATGTTGTTTACTCTCTGCGAAACCAGTTAGATGGGCTGGCAAGAGAGAGGCTCTCCAGAATTGACGTGGCAACTCTACCGTGAAGTCAGAACCTCTGACTCTTGGACTTCTGATGTGAATCCTCCGGCCGTTAACTCCAAATAAACCATCATGTGTTTGACATCAAAGCTACTGCTCTTCCCGTGTCTCCTTCCTGAGTCGGTGACTCCCACTGCATAGCTACACAGAAGTTTCCGCTACAAATTGGCGTTGTCGGCAGGATGCCAACAGATCTTCAGATTCTGGTAAGTGTGATTTTCAAATCTACATTTGGACATTGCCTTATCAGAATCTGTGATTGACGGTATCCTAAAATTACCTGTGAAACTGATCGGCTGCGTTTCCTTTTGGTTAATGAACATTTGGGGATGATAAACCCAGGAGATCAGTGTCTGGGGACTCAGTCCTGGCTTATTTCCTCTGTGTGTGCTGCTCGGGACGGAAGTGCCATACAGGCATACACAGCTCCTGTTTAGAGATACCTTAAAGAAAGGGCATCAGTGAAGTGGAGCTTCTGTGTGAATTGAAAGCAATGTAAAAGATTTGTATTGAACAAATCGCCGGATTTTGAGGGTCTTAGTGGCTAAGCACAGCAGTTGAAAATAAGCAGCCAAAGATATTTGCTGCTATCACCTCTCTGTAAAAACACGGCTCCAGCTGCAGCCTTGCGTGTGTGTGTGTGTAAAACCTCACCGTGTGTGTGTGGGGCTGGAGCAGTGCAGGCTGAGAGGAAGAAAGTCACAGCTTATTGCCTATAGGTTTTAACTCACGGCACCGCCGTCCTTCAAACGGGACGGTCTAAAAGCACTCGTTGTTTAGGACCGCTTTTCTCATGGTTAGAC